CAACCAACTTCTCTCTCTCTCCCCTCCAAAGATGTAGCTAAAACTAGAGGCAGAGAATGGTGCTGAATAGGTCTTACTATTTTCTGTTTCTATTATAAGACATTTGTTGGCAGTCTCAAACATGGTTTTCTTCTTCAGTCTTTCCATTTTTCATTCATCACCTCCTTCGCCGTGTGCTCTCACACGGCATTGGCTGGTGAACATTTTCTCCATCACATCATCAGCTCTCCTCGACCCTTACGCGCCTTCCCTCTCTCTCTCTCTCTCCTCTTCTTGTCCGCCATTATCAAATTCAAAACCTTCCTTCATAACCAAACTCTCATAAATATTGCTTTCGCACATGAAAACAACCAGTACAGCCATGAGAATACCATGGAAGGTGGTATCTTGCATTGTATTAGTGTTGTTTTGCTTTAACGTTCAAACATGCAAGGCTCAGGATTACGAGGATAGCACCACGCCGGCGGCGCCACCGCCGGAACAAGAAACCTGTGACGGTATCTTCGTCTCGTACACCTTTTTAGAGAGAGAAAAAGAATTCCCGCACGTCAAGAACGCGTCTGCGCAATCATGGGCGTTCAGCTCCATGGCGACGGTGTTGAACGCCGGAGCTTATGAGCTGAAGTCATGGCAGATATACGTAGGGTTTCAGCACAATGAGATATTGGTGTCTGCCGACGGGGCGGTCATTGTTGGAGGCGATGATCTTCCGGCTCCTGTCGGGAATGGAACCCACCTTGCCGGGTATCCACAGTCGGATTTGAAGACGGCCATTGATACGGCTGGTGATGTGAATCAAATGCAGGTGCAGGTGAAAATGAAGGGGACGCAGTTTGGGGTGAAGCCGCCCGGCATTCCGATGCCAAAGACGATAAAGCTTGTTAATGAAGGGTATAAGTGTCCAGCAACAAAACGTCACGGTATGTATTAATTGTTGGATTAACATGTTTCGTGCATGTAAAGTTAGAATTAAAGTGACGAGAAAATATTCGGTGCTCGTCACCGATCAATAGATGTCACCTCATATTCTGTCATCGGCGGGTATCACCCGTGATTGATAGTTGGTACTCATCACCAATTAAAAGATGTTATCTCAATATAGGTTGTCCTTCAATTTTTCTCTCTTCACTGCCTACTTTGGGGTGACATCCGTTGATTGTGATGAGTACCAGTTGTCATTGACTACCTGGTACCCGATAAGCACCAAATAATTTTTCTAAAGTGACTATTATCATAATAAAATATGTGTGGAGGTAGTAATCTCATGCTTCCAAGGATTATAATCATCGATAAATAATGTGACGATAGATCATATATATTGAGTGTTTAAATCGTATAAGAAGTATTATTTGGACGAGATCAACTTGATTATGATCCAAATATGTTAAACTTAAACCTATAATTAATCAAAAGTATCTTTAAGAAGCATAAGTCTAACAAAATTGTCGTGCCTCCCTTTCTGAGTTTCAAGATTATCGATGAGCTATCTACTTTTTCAAAAATACAGATGTATTTTGAAGGGATCCATAGATTAGCATTGTGTTTTTTTTTGCAGCAAGCTACATGTACGTCTGCTGTGTAAGGAATCCAAAGTACAAACCCAAAGTCATCAAAACAAAGTTCCTGCCACGCCAGTATGGCGATCTCTCTTTCACATACGATGTTCTTCAAGCTTATGAAGGCAAGTATCAAGCCCAAGTCACCATAGACAACATCAACCCCTTAGGTCGCCTTGATCACTGGAACTTGACATGGGAGTGGATGAGAAATGAATTCATCAACACCATGAAAGGAGCTTACACCCACAAAAAAGACCCTTCTGAATGTCTCTACGGCCCGGCCGGACAGTACTACCAGGACTTTGATTTCTCTACTGTCATGAACTGTGAGAAAAGGCCGATCATCTCCGACCTGCCGGCCGAGAGAAAAGATGATGAAAAGGTTGGGAAGTTGCCTTATTGTTGCAGGAATGGGACTCTTTTACCAACCACCATGAATGAGACCAAGGCGAGATCAATATTTCAGTTGGAGGTGTTTAAACTTCCACCTGATATGAATAGAACTGCTCTTTACCCACCTCAGAACTGGAAAATCAATGGTGTTCTTAATCCGAATTACAAATGTGGTGCTCCTATAAGGGTTGATCCTACTGAATTTCCAGACCCAAGTGGGCTTGCTTCGACAAGTAATGCCATTGCAAGTTGGCAAGTGACCTGCAACATTACTCGTCCTAAGGCCAAACAGGCAAGATGCTGTGTCTCCTTCTCGGCTTACTACGCTGCGTCTGTCGTGCCTTGCCCAACTTGTGCTTGTGGATGTGAAAACACTGAACATTGTAACCCGAACGCGCGGGCAATGCCTCTCCCATCGGAGGCTCTTCTCGTGCCTTTCGCCAACAGAACCGAGAAGGCCAAGGCCTGGGCTAAGATCAAGCACCATGAAGTTCCTAATCCTTTGCCTTGTCCGGACAATTGTGGGGTTAGCATCAATTGGCACGTTGACACTGATTACAAAACAGGGTGGACAGCTCGAATCACCCTCTTCAACTGGGACGATTTCGCTTTTGAAGATTGGTTCACAGCAATTCAGATGAAGAAAGCTTATCCTGGTTATGAAAATGTCTACTCATTCAATGGCACAAAGCTTCCTCAACTCAATAACACCATTTTCATGCAAGGTTTGCCTGGTTTGAATTTCTTGGTGGGAGAGGTAAATGGGACTCATCCTGACACTGATCCAAGAGTGCCTGGAAAGCAACAATCAGTGATTTCGTTCCTGAAGAAACACACCCCTGGAATTAATGTAGCACAAGGTGATGGATTTCCAACAAAAGTGATCTTCAATGGCGAAGAGTGTGCTCTTCCCACAGAGTTTCCGAAAAGAAGTGGAGGGCATCGTTCTCGTGTCGGGTTCTTGCCAGCGCTTCTCCTTGCAATCCTGAGTTTTGTGCTAATGGCAGATTTCTTCCATTGACAACCATTGAGGGTTATTCACTGCAATTCTGCTCCTCCTCGAGGGTACCAAGCTTTCATGAGTGTTTATATTGTCGTGATCAAGCATTCAGCATAGTTTCAATTAGTTCAGAAATGGAAATGTTTTGGGAATACAATGAAAATAGAAAAAAAAAATTGAATTTTCTATAACAAAACTTTTCAGAACATTGACTAAAACATTCCAAAACACTGAAATTCTAATTTTCTATCAATAATTCGTTTCAGTTTTCATTAAAGCCGAGCTATTTAGCTTGTTTCGGTGAAAACAAAATGAAATTCTGTTCTTTATGATTTTGGCTAAGCAATATGATGACTGATGAGGCCTTGTTTTACTCATTTTTTTGTTGTATCTCAGTTGTAAAGACAATGCTATGAACTTGGGCGGATGGGGAGGATGAGAACAAAGGGACCAAGGTTTTAGACACTGTCCTTCTCCAAGAAGCAGAGATGAGGAGATTGTAACAAGTTGAGACAAGACATTATGATTGTTTGTATGAATAATTAATTCACTTGTAGTTGTTGTTATACAAATGACCATCAATTTCTATAGATATTTTCTTAGGTGGTTGAAAAATTTTAACTGAGTTATGTCTTTGCACTTTTTGGTTGTACAAATTTTAGTTTGTGCACAGAATTTTATTTTGAGTTAGTCCATACAAAACCTGTACTACCTGTACTTTTTTTTTTTTTTTTTATCATTACCCTGTTTCTTTTTTTAAATTATATTGATAGTTAGACTCAATTCACTAAAATAATTTGTCATCCCAATCTATTCATCTGGTTGGATTGCTAGTGAAGAACATCCTATAAAAATTCTGTTTCATGCTTTCAGAAGAGGCCTCTTTGGCATTCAAATGAAACAGAGCACTGGCATTTTTTCTCTGGACTTGGTTTCTGTTTCTTCTAACCTAGTGAAAAATTGAAAATATAGTTTCATGGACCTTGAGTTGTAGCTCTAAAAAAGAAAAACATAAAAAAAAAAAAAAAACAGAAGCCCATCTTTCAAGGTTTTATAATCTTACCCAATTACTTTTCTTTGGGAGGAATAGCTGCAATCCCAGATAGAGAGTGTCATATCAAATTCTTAATGGGAGAGATGTCGATTTTGAGAGAATTTGAATCCTATCAATTTCAAATATTGTCAATAATGGTGGTTTTACTGCGTGACAATGCACCTGATAGGAGCTAAATGATTATTAAACTTTATCCGTTGTGGAAAAAAAAACCAAAATTGAGAGGCTGCGTAGCCACATCACCATGGATGTTTCGATNGTGACAATGCACCTGATAGGAGCTAAATGATTATTAAACTTTATCCGTTGCGGAAAAAAAAACCAAAATTGAGAGGCTGCGTAGCCACATCACCATGGATGTTTCGATGACAAAAGAATCATGTTATTTTGGCTCTGTTTATCTGCTTAGTGGTCTCTCTTTTCCCAAATTCACAGGGTCCCGATCATTGCCCGCAGGGTAAGGTGTAGTCGGTGTTCGTCAAGAAAGTCTTTGAAGGCTCTCAACCTTATTGATGAGGTAATGAAATGTTCTCTGATACAATGGTATGGTTTTAGTACTCGTTACGTTTGCAACAGCTAACTTATGAACTGTCAAGATGAGCTTGCTTATGAACTGTCAAGATGAAGTAGATGTTCTTAGACATCTTAGTAATAGAGAAACAAAATTGATTTATTGTCATAATAAACCTTGAACAACTCTTTTTCTTCCCCTGTTTCTTCATAGAACAGTTACAAAACAACTTCATACAATGCCTTTCAAAGAATGTTTTGCATATACAATACTGAAAATTGATTGCACATACAACACATGCCTCCCACTGGTATTTGCTGGTTGGAGAGAGAGAATACGAAAATTTCCAGATCACATTTTGTATTAAAGTATATGAAGGTCTCTTGAAAAATCAAGTAGCAGTGTCCCAAAGCATCTCATTGTTCCTTGACTGCGCCAAAATTTCATTTACTTTTCTCCAGAGACCAATAGTTTGTTTCAATGTCATGCCTGCGGTAACATTGTGAAGTTCTCGTTATAGACAAGAAACATAGCAAAAAAGTTACAAAAGGAAAAAAGAAGTTTANTTGTTGCCTGCGGTAACATTGTGAAGTTCTCGTTATAGACAAGAAACATAGCAAAAAAGTTACAAAAGGAAAAAAGAAGTTTAGACACAAAAGCCACTAGAACTGACTGATAACTGACAATTTCAATTGGTCTGACTGCTTCAACTTGTGGCAATGTTTCATACATGGAATACTTACAGAAACAAACATTTCCACTTTTAGTCTGTAAGCCTTCTATATTTATGACAAGTAGAAAAGGTCTGGTCAATTGTTTGCGTAAACAACTCTACACATAATGTAGTAAACACTGGTGAACGAGTAAGCAACAAAATGGTATACAGTTCACATCAAAATGCAATTTCATTTCAGAAATAACAACTGGAATTCTACATTCCCAAGTGGGCTTATCAGAAAAGTACCTTTTCATATGGTGTTTGTATCTACAAATAAAATGTAGAGACATTGGCAATATAGTCCAAAAGAAAAAGGCTTCTTCGGGTTGCAACTACCTCCTTGGTGGACATAACTAATACAAAACCAAACCCAACTAAACCAAGCTTTATGTCTCAATCATTTGGAGTCTGTTATATGAGTCCATCTTCGCCATTCATTTCGATCATGCGCTACACGCTCATTTAGGTCAAGTATTTTCATATCTTGGAGGGCATAACTAATGACAAACTATAAAAGATAAGAGGGTGCCCGGGAATAAAATTCAAATGATCTGTACTTATGTATCATCTTGCAGTTTGAGCATGCTTTTATTTTCTTCTTAGATACGAACTCTTTAAGCTTTATCACTCTATCAACAATTATTCCCTTACCGTACCTTGTTATGTTTTGCTTTTCATTTTCACTTGCACAAAATACTAAATGCAGAACATTTTAAAATGCACCACAAAACTCAAATCAATAAATCTACCTTTTTTAGATACTTCTTGTGAAGTTTCATTGCCCCACGGCAAGCTTTCCTGGCATCTAGGTTTCCGGTTATGTCATTCAATATCTGAAACATTTGAGAGAAAAATCTGAATGAGATGAGGGACAGAAAAAGCTATATATGCTGTTGGATTAACTGAAAAACGACATTCTATATATTTCGTACTTATTTCAATTGGAAAAACCTTGCATCATGGCTTTTGAAGCCATTAGCATCACAATGGAAAAAGTTAGTCATGCAATGCAACAATACTTCTAATAGTGTTTATCAACTGGAAGAAGATTTAACACTATTCCAAAAACTAAAGAAAAGATGTGGATCAAAGGCGGTAGATGAAGATCACATGCAGCTGCAAGTCTACATATTTTCCTTATTATTTCATCCCATGTGTTTTCTGCCTAACGGATGCATTGATCTAGCAGAGAATTAACTCTCAAATTGGAGGCTAATACAGCATTCACATTTATGATCCCATCAAGCTGACCTTGACAACATCGTCCAGTCCCCGAGCTTCTGTCAGTAACTTTGAGCTTCTATTTTCGAGGACACTGGCCACAAGAAAAACTGATATCGGGAGATGGGCTTGAGAATTGACTCCATTTTTCCTGTTGTCCCTCTCATACTTCCCAAATTGGCGCATTGACTTTGGTTTTCCTTTAGAACCCTTATGTTTTTCGCTAGCTGATTTAGAGTCCTCATACACAGAAAACAAGTAGGGGTCATACTCCAGAGCCCACATCATCTGTTTTGAAGTTTAACAACCAGACAAATATTAGCAAGAAAACCTAACAGAACAGAAGAATATTAAAAGCAAGTACACTAGTCTGATGACAAAAGTTCAATATATAAACACATGCATGGAGGGGGGAAGAAGTAAAAGTGATAAAAGTAGTTATTGCCCAATCTATCCAACAAAATAGGGAACTATTGGAAAAATGCCAGCTGCCAGATGGTGTGCCTGTAAAGCTTTGAATAAGTTCACACCCCCCCAGACATGAGTTCCAAGTTTCCACTGAAGATAATGGTAAAGCAGCATCAACGCATCCAACTACTCAACTCAATAAAGTCTTGTCCCAACATTTTTGGGTTGGCTACATGAATCATGTTTCGCCATTGTGCTCTATTAAGGGTGTCATGCCATAAATTATCATATCTTTATTTACTATTTCATTAAAAATTAATTTTGGCTTTCCTCTACCCCTACACATACCGTCAATAGCAATCATCTCACTCTTTCTCACCCCTAATTATCTCATATATGTGCTACCTCTACTTTTTCACAAATATAACGTTACTAATTCTATCCTTTTCAGATATACTACACATCAGTCATAACATTCTCATCAAAGCATCCAAATGTGAGTCAGTAATTGGAAGAAAACTGCCAATAATTTTTCCAACTAGTTAACATAAACTGCAGACAAGATTCTAGATGGATTATTTTTTGGCCAAATAAAGAATCAAATTTACTTTATTACTTGTTCAAAAATTTTCCTAGATTAGGGCTTCCTTCTGCACCTACTCATCAGAGAAAGATCTATAATTTCTTTCTAAGTGTTTTGGGTTTATTATCTTACTGTACTTTATTCTATTCTGTTTTTTTTTTGTTTGGGGGAGTGGGGGGGTTGAAATATCTCCCCAAACTCCAGTTAGGAAGAGACTGTTTTCGTGACTCGAACATACGATGCCTACATGACATTGGAACAACCTTACAGCAATGCCAAAAGTCATATTCTAATCCCCTAGATAAATAACTAATGGCTGATATCTTAAATTAGAACTGATTGGAGTATTGAACTTATACCAGGTTTACAAGTCAAATGGGTATGAGTGAGATTTGGGGCAGATAAAATACGGAAGGAGCTAAAATTCCGGAGAAAATTAACAATAGGTAGGTAGGGTTTTGTGACAGTTTGAGGGAAATTGGAAAGATTATGGGATTTTGAGAAGTTAGTGGGTCACAGTAAGTAAATAAAATGGCTGAGGCCAAATGTATTTAATTCAAGGGCCTAAAGGTAAGTTGCATTATAGAAATGCATGATTATCTGAATAGTCTCACACACACCAAAGCGATAAGAAAGCACTACTTGGACATTTGAAGTTCCACCAGAGAGCACGGTGGGCAGGTACTGCAGCTCTGAACTTGCAGGTGTAATGCATCTTAGAATCATTAACGTTGTTGCTCAACATGCATATATGATGTATGCACGTGATAAAGACATCTAAGGCAGGGAACTAAACCAATAAAGAAGCATGATAAGCCCATTACTTAAAATTGGTTCCATCAATTCCAGGCACTGGGAGGCTTGGACTAGTATCTGCATTCTGAATTTGTTGGCATCTTTCAAGAAATGGATACCCTCAGACTCAAGTAGCATTTTCATGCCAGCAACATGGGTTTTCTCCATTGCATAAAGCACTGGACAGTTGTAAATCAAGAAAGATATATACTAAAACATTAGTCGGGCAGCCTTGATTAACAAATTAACGTCGTAGCCCACTAGTTGTAAAGACATTTTGCTGAAGATAGTCTCAATTTTTTTCGATCTAATAAATTTTTGTGTGGCTTGCCTCCATTTCAGTAATGGTAATTGTGCAGAACAATCAAGTCTATGTTGGGCAGCCTCAATTAATAAATCAACTTATGTCATACACTTTCAATTGAACCCAAAGAGTTGGGCAAAAGGCTTTGTTGAGTTGAGGATGCCACACTTTGATTGCATTTCATAAGTTCTAAAATACTTTGCAAAAGATTAACCCATGTGGTTTGCTTAGAATTGTGTTCTGCATTGCAGGCTTTTTTTTTCATCTCGCATGCATTTTATGATAATTTTTATTTTGCAAGGCACAGGCACTTTAACCCTAAAACATCACAAAAGCTATCACAATATCCATGTCCCAATAATCCGAACTAAAAGACAAGTAGGCCGCATTTACTGCTTATAATGACCAAAGGAAGCAGAAATGTTTATGTCCTACAATTGAATGCATAAAGCAGGATTTTGATCACATTATGGATGTAAGTCAAAGTTTGTTGACAAGTGATATATGAACATGAAATCCCAAAGAAGTTGACTTATGACAGAAAAGACACCTTTCAAATTTTTGTGAGAAAAAAGAAAAGAAAGGAGGTGAAAATTTCTGACAAAACTTTAGTTTAACTATTGTGGTATTGTTCAAAGTCAAGCAGGAAATATGCGAACACATCGCTTTTAATACATGTGATTCAAGTGTTTAAAGCTGTAAGAGCAATTAAATCATACCTCCCAAAGGTACAATGAGTCGCCAAAAGAGAATTCTCGACGAAACAAAACCATAAGCATCCGGAAAGCAAATAGATAGTTACCTCCACCTAGGGTCTCTGTGTTCAAATATCGGAAGACATTTCATTGTTACTTATTTTATTTTAAATACTGTAAGAACGAGAACCCGTGCAAAAATAAAAGAACTGATTATGCATTACTTGTTGAGTTATTCTATCATGAAGATGTTGAAATTGTACTGCTATTACTACAATGGCTGAAACAAATGAAGGATTTGTTTCAAAACCTTTAAAGGCAAACAACTGCAGATTTGTTACATCTAGGTGATGTAGACACATTACAATGGGAAAAGCAATTACAAGGAGTGCAAAAAAGGGATTCAACTTGAAAATCTAGTTTTCATAGGTCCCAATTCAGTTTCATAGTTGTGCTAAANCTAGATGGATTATTTTTTGGCCAAATAAAGAATCAAATTTACTTTATTACTTGTTTAAAATTTTTCCCAGATTAGGGCTTCCTTCTGCACCTACTCATCAGAGAAAGATCTATAATTTCTTTCTAAGTGTTTTGGGTTTATTATCTTATTGTACTTTATTCTATTCTGTTTTTTTTTTGTTTGGGGGAGTGTGGGGGTTGAAATATCTCCCCAAACTCCAGTTAGGAAGAGACTGCTTTCGTGACTCGAACATACGATGCCTACATGACATTGGAACAACCTTACAGCAATGCCAAAAGTCATATTCTAATCCCCTAGATAAATAACTAAGGGCTGATATCTTAAATTATAACTGATTGGAGTATTGAACTTATACCATGTTTACAAGTCAAATGGGTATGAGTGAGATTTGGGGCAGATAAAATACGGAAGGAGCTAAAATTCCAGAGAAAATTAACAATAGGTAGGTAGGGTTTTGTGACAGTTTGAGGGAGATTGGAAAGATTATGGGATTTTGAGAAGTTAGTGGGTCACAGTAAGTAAATAAAATGGCTGAGGCCAAATGTATTTAATTCAAGGGCCTAAAGGTAAGTTGCATTATAGAAATGCATGATTATCTGAATAGTCTCACACACACCAAAGCGATAAGAAAGCACTACTTGGACATTTGAAGTTCCACCAGAGAGCACGGTGGGCAGGTACCGCAGCTCTGAACTTGCAGGTGTAATGCATCTTAGAATCATTAACGTTGTTGCTCAACATGCATATATGATGTATGCATGTGATAAAGACATCTAAGGCAGGGAACTAAACCAATAAAGAAGCATGATAAGCTCATTACTTAAAATTGGTTCCATCAATTCCAGGCACTGGGAGGCTTGGACTAGTATCTGCATTCTGAATTTGTTGGCATCTTTCAAGAAATGGATACCCTCAGACTCAAGTAGCATTTTCATGCCAGCAACATGGGTTTTCTCCATTGCATAAAGCACTGGACAGTTGTAAATCAAGAAAGATATATACTAAAACATTAGTCGGGCAGCCTTGATTAACAAATTAACGTTGTAGCCCACTAGTTGTAAAGACATTTTGCAGAAGATAGTCTCAATTTTTTCGATCTAATAAATTTTTGTGTGGCTTGCCTCCATTTCAGTAATGGTAATTGTGCAGAACAATCAAGTCTATGTTGGGCAGCCTCAATTAATAAATCAACTTATGTCATACACTTTCAATTGAACCCAAAGAGTTGGGCAAAAGGCTTTGTTGAGTTGAGGATGCCACACTTTGATTGCATTTCATAAGTTCTAAAATACTTTGCAAAAGATTAACCCATGTGGTTTGCTTAGAATTGTGCTCTGCATTGCAGGCTTTTTTTTTTCATCTCGCATGCATTTTATGATAATTTTTATTTTGCAAGGCACAGGCACTTTAACCCTAAAACATCACCAAAGCATTCACAATATCCATGTCCCAATAATCCGAACTAAAAGACAAGTAGGCCGCATTTACTGCTTATAATGACCAAAGGAAGCAGAAATGTTTATGTCCTACAATTGAATGCATAAAGCAGGATTTTGATCACATTATGGATGTAAGTCAAAGTTTGTTGACAAGTGATATATGAACATGAAATCCCAAAGAAGTTGACTTATGACAGAAAAGACACCTTTCAAATTTTTGTGAGAAAAAAGAAAAGAAAGGAGGTGAAAATTTCTGACAAAACTTTAGTTTAACTATTGTGGTATTGTTCAAAGTCAAGCAGGAAATATGCGAACACATCGCTTTTAATACATGTGATTCAAGTGTTTAAAGCTGTAAGAGCAATTAAATCATACCTCCCAAAGGTACAATGAGTCGCCAAAAGAGAATTCTCGACGAAACAAAACCATAAGCATCCGGAAAGCAAATAGATAGTTACCTCCACCTAGGGTCTCTGTGTTCAAATATCGGAAGACATTTCATTGTTACTTATTTTATTTTAAATACTGTAAGAACGAGAACCCGTGCAAAAATAAAAGAACTGATTATGCATTACTTGTTGAGTTATTCTATCATGAAGATGTTGAAATTGTACTGCTATTACTACAATGGCTGAAACAAATGAAGGATTTGTTTCAAAACCTTTAAAGGCAAACAACTGCAGATTTGTTACATCTAGGTGATGTAGACACATTACAATGGGAAAAGCAATTACAAGGAGTGCAAAAAAGGGATTCAACTTGAAAATCTAGTTTTCATAGGTCCCAATTCAGTTTCATAGTTGTGCTAAACAGAACTGATGAAAAAGTGGTTCAGTTGTGGTTGCAAATTAAGGAGCCTGCGAACAAACATACCGACTTAAGGCACAATCTGTGGTATACGAGAAGACATTCATCCCACAAGGATAAAGACAAGAAAGCACCTCCTTTTGGTTCCCTTTACAAAAGAACCTCCACTGCAGCATACACAAACTCACACAAATTTCCCATCAGTGGCCTTTACAGATGGTTAAGGGGATTCAATTGAAATTGGCCTGGGTCGGTTCAGTTCTAGGTTGATGCTCAACCCAAACAAAACCGATCCATGTGCCTTCAGCCAACCCCTTTTTCAGCGAACTGGTATGCCATGGTGGATAGAAGCTGGGAATTTGTAGTGATCAAGGATCAAAATTTTATTTGAAACGGTCGAAACATTTTCGTTTTCAAGGAGACCGAAAAAAAAAAATTTCAATATTGCGTGGTGTTATTCGACATTTCAGTACATTTTGACTAATGTTCCGAAATGTTATCGAAATTAACTCCCCAATTTTTTATTTGTTTCCATTTTGTTTCAAAAATATTTCCATGTCCTAGGTAATTGAAACACTCCACTGAAGCGAAATTTTGATCCTTGGTAGTGATTAAATAAGACAAACTTCATCATATGTTTGTGTAAGAGGACAACATAACGTCCAAAAGTCTTACGTCTTATTGGCTTGTCCTTGACCTTTCTACTAAACTTCAGGAGGCCTAGAAATTGGGTATGGGGGCACAAGTTAGCAAAAATCTTTACGAATTGATGCACATCGAATTTGACTTAGTTCCTTCTTTAAGGGCCAAATATTTGGCCCATTCCTTTTAGATGTGTGAGGTTGCTCTCTCTTGTCACGTGTGTGTGTGTGTGTGTGTTTTTTTTTTTTTGGGGGGGGGTTGATTTGTTCATGAGCTCCAGTAGTTAAAATCCTCAGATTTATGGACCATAAGACATTTCTTCTTGCTTTAACAAAGGAAGACACAAGAACTACGAGCACGTGAGTTCTTTTAAAGGTTTGACTCAAAATGACAATTGCAGGGCAATCAAAATTAGAGGAGGACTGGTGCTATGAAAGAAAGGACTACCAATGGCTAAAGAATGGTACCTAGGTGCTGATGAAGTTTGGGATCAATGACTTCAGTAATAGAAGCCAAATTACTTAGCTGCGTCTCCACACCAACAGAGCTCTCAGTGCATCTGAAATTTCCTCGCTTTGAAAGTTCAAACAACAAAAAATATAATTAGTTAAATTTCCCTTACAAGAATACCAAAGATCAAATACAAACACTAGTGATTCAAACAGAAAAATATATAACAATGAGCTGGAAGAATAAAAAGATAATTAAAAAAAGGTTCTCAATCTGTGTTAAGGCAACCGTTTAAAGCATGCTACTGCAAAAGTTCCCTGATATTGTAAAAATCTCATGGAACAAAAAACTTGTTCCTTTCTTCTGGAAATAGACTTTAGACTCACTATCACAAATAAGGGACTACATTGAGACCATGCATTTTCCACCATAACTATTCTGTGCCAGTGAATTGACCGGCAAAATTGAAAAAATGTACAATTGATTATAAAGTCTCTGTTTCCTCTGCATAAACATTATCTGGAATGTGTATATATGATAATCAAATAAACGTTTAACTTCTTATTGTCATACTATCGCAACATATTTGTGGCACTCTGATGCTGTTAGAATAAAAGAAAGGGAAATCCACGTAAAATTTTAATAACATACATTCAGATCCAAGCTTATGTGACAATAAATTTCAATGAAGCACCGAATAGGATATCAAATAGTACTCACATATATAAAAGCAGAAGCAAAGCTACGAGAAAAAAGAGAAATTCAGTTATGACAGGAAACTAAAGAAGCAAGATGATTTGGCAAAATCTTAACACAAGTCGGCAATAGCTATCAAAATCTTAGAACAAGTCTTCTAGGATCACAATACAATTCTCCAGAAACCACGGACTAAAAATGACAAACCCAACCAAACAAACATGCTTTCAAGTTTGCATGCAATGATCATAAAACACATTGCACTGTCAAAGCATAGCACTTAAACAGATTTTCAGACCATATTTAATTGTTGTGAATACAAAGATATGTACCAATCTGCGCATCAAATGTTCAAAGCACCAAAAAGCATCTGCCTCATCCTGGAGAAGAATGATCATGGGGGAGCAAAGATCACTCATTCCTGCTCAGCATATTCACAAAGTTCATACTTCAGAACCAGCACCTTGATGCAATTCAGAGATATAAAACTAGTGTTAAACTCTTGCTATGTTGAGACTACAAGCATTATGAACCATTCTGATAATATTATAACCCAGTCATTGAGGGTTTGCTATGTCGGCAAAAAAAAGGAGGAGCAAACAATTAAGAGGAACAAGGTAACATATTCGATCTCTTAGGTCACACAAGACTTAACTCGCAACAAGAGAAATTAGAATAAAAAGGAGGCAAAATCACCTTTTCATATAGGAATTCCACATATTCATCAAATTATTTTGGATATAAAATGTGTTCCTACATTTCCACAAAAATTAGAGAGAATATGTACAATTGTCTTTTGAAGAAAATTTCTCGCATATGTTGGAACAAACTTACTATTACAAGAACTTTCTCAGTGGCAACTTTCCTAAACTAAAAGTTGATGAATAATGCTTCATAACCTCTTCAGCAAGCAGATTCCTTGGAACAAGGGTATGTGATACAACACAAGACCATTGCGACTTACCTATCATATTTATTAAACCATACCAAATAAAGCATTTGTCCCGACTCCCGTATTAATTGGGCTCGGTTACATGAATCTTTTTTCGTCATTCTAATCTATCAGACTTGTATATCTTACCAAATGAAAAGTTATGATATCCTTCTTGAACACCTCACTCCATATTGACTTTGTTCTTCACCTTCCCCTGGCATTTCTATTAATTAGTGCCCATGTCACTCATCCCTGGTTCACTTATTGGTCTTTTGTGCACTTACCAACAATCTTAGTTCGCTTTCCCCCAATTTATAGTCAAATGGTGCTATCCCCATATGAAGTGAGTGGAAGTGGAAAGAAAAAGCTAGGACATTCTGAATTGAATCAATTAATATCAAAATCAATCATTTTTCTTTAATTCTTTTAAGCCATAGTAGTAGATGAAAATCCAATAGATTACCCACCTTGACAATAGCCAACATCTGCATCAAACCAGGCATAGACAGCTAGAACATCCCAAAGCTTCGACAGATTTTCTTGCTTCTCATAGAACTCGAGTGTCCTGTCAGTGCGAACCACATCGAGACCTAGCATAAATATTAATTCAAGGATGCAGCGTTACCAAATATGATCACAAAAGAAAATTAATTGTAGAAGATCCACTATAAGTTAAGACCGCTTGCAAAATAAAAAGATCTCTGTTACAATGTCTAAGAACCAGTGATGATGTTGATGCTATAAACCTCAAATAACAACACAAACCAAAGCATCCATGAAGAAAACCCAACTAGATTATATCATTTATCTACTGATTCAGGTAACACTTTTTTATTTTCTTTTTGCTGTTTATTGTCTTACCACCCAAGTAACAAATCAAATCCATGGCCCTGCCGACTAAATTATGTCACCGTCATGCACACACATGAATAATACAATGTAGAAGATAAACTACAATGGGGCAGTAATCATGATAGAAACAAGTAAATAAACAAACCATTTCAAACAATAGCGTAAACCTGCAAATTAGTAAAGAAAGGGTTGCTTCTGATGGAAAGCATATCCAGCATCAGGGTTCAAGTTTGAAATGACAACACGCAAGGTAAGCAAGTTTAAAGTAAGCAACAGATAAAAAATGGGAGAAGCATACTTAAAAGGTAAAACACAAGGGAAGCAAGAGACAAGAATAAGTTTCCATAAGTGAGGATCACAATTAAATTTCAAATTTTCTTGTTAAGAACAGATGATCCATGAGTTCTTTTGTGAAAGCTCCAAGCAATTTGAAAACTGACGTTAATAATAATAAAGAACAATGTAAATGAAAGCGAATAGGTAGAAACTTTGAGGGAAGCCAATTTTGTCCAGCCATTGATGTTATCAGTTTACACCTGCTGTAACTCTTTACTATACACTTCTCAGTAATATTTTGTGAGATCCACATTTTTCAGAATCCACCATTAGTATTTATTGTGAAGAAAGCTTGCATCCCCCTCACCAACTTTGAAGGTGATACAAGAAAAAGTGCACGATAGAACTTAGAAGGGAAAATAGTGAACACCTACAGATGATAGAATTGATAATTTAACAGCATATATCCCACAAGGAGAGAACATATACAACAATTCAAGGTTGTTAGCTTGAGCATTTTACCATTCCACTAGAAAATGACAAATCTAGACCATACTACCTGTTCATAGAGATGACAAAGCTTATAAATTGGAAAATCGTGACTCTAGACTAAAATCTTGAGCTACTGTTCATGCCCTGAAGATAAACCATGGGGTTATCTTACATCATTGATCAATGCTAGTCAATATAGGTGCAATGATGGATTTATGTTAATCCTTTACATGCTTAATCATATTGTAAAAAAGAAAAGGCGATGGGAATAGATGGGACTACAGAAAATTGACTGATATGCAAGAGCAAAATTCAAAACAAACGAAGCATGCATCCAGTTATTACATGAAATACCAACCTATTTGATGTAGTGTAAGCTTCCATTGAATTACTTTCTTGTCCTGGGGACCATGACCACTTGGCTCCTTTACCATTTCTGAACCGCCTGAAGCACCTGAAATTGCACTATTGAAGGCATCAGCATATACCACACTGCCAGTTGAAAGCTCAAAGTTGTCAGCATTACCATTTTCTTCAGGAAGTAATCCCAGTTCCTTAAGTACAACAGGATCTTGAACAGGTTCACCATCTTCGGTAACTACAGGTGCGGTTATAAACCTCCCACTTCCAATAAGGGGAAACATCTGGCGACACTCTTCTTTCAACAACGCATATTTTTCCCTGAAGGTATACACAAACAAATGCCATTTAGTACATTGTTAAGGGAACACAAATTTAGGCTTAGANTAAACCTCCCACTTCCAATAAGGGGAAACATCTGGCGACACTCTTCTTTCAACAACGCATATTTTTCCCTGAAGGCATACACAAACAAATGCCATTTAGTACATTGTTAAGGGAACACAAATTTAGGCTTAGACTGAAAATGAATTGGTTTTTTGGCTTAAAGGAAAAGATGATAATATGTTTTTTCTGGNTGCTTATAAATTGGAAAATTGTGACTCTAGACTGTTCATGCCCTGAAGATAAACCATGGGGTTATCTTACATCATTGATCAATGCTAGTCAATATAGGTGCAATGATGGATTTATGTTAATCCTTTACATGCTTAATCATATTGTAAAAAAGAAAAGGCGATGGGAATAGATGGGACTACAGAAAATTGACTGATATGCAAGAGCAAAATTCAAAACAAACGAAGCATGCATCCAGTTATTACATGAAATACCAACCTATTTGATGTAGTGTAAGCTTCCATTGAATTACTTTCTTGTCCTGGGGACCATGACCACTTGGCTCCTTTACCATTTCTGAACCGCCTGAAGCACCTGAAATTGCACTATTGAAGGCATCAGCATATACCACACTGCCAGTTGAAAGCTCAAAGTTGTCAGCATTACCATTTTCTTCAGGAAGTAATCCCAGTTCCTTAAGTACAACAGGATCTTGAACAGGTTCACCATCTTCGGTAACTACAGGTGCGGTTATAAACCTCCCACTTCCAATAAGGGGAAACATCTGGCGACACTCTTCTTTCAACAACGCATATTTTTCCCTGAAGGCATACACAAACAAATGCCATTTAGTACATTGTTAAGGGAACACAAATTTAGGCTTAGACTGAAAATGAATTGGTTTTTTGGCTTAAAGGAAAAGATGATAATATGTTTTTTCTGGGGGTGGGGAAAGAGGGATTTGTCTCATATAGCGCATCCGAATAACAAACTGTGAGTTATGCAAACTGAATAGGATAAGGGGAAGGAACATGTCCTCTACAACACATAATTTTTGAAATGACAACAACTTAGCAAGNGGGGGTGGGGAAAGAGGGATTTGTCTCATATAGCGCATCCGAATAACAAACTGTGAGTTATGCAAACTGAATAGGATAAAGGGAAGGAACATGTCCTCTACAACACATAATTTTTGAAATGACAACAACTTAGCAAGAAAATCGAAATCAAAGGAAAAAAGGAAAGACAGAAATTGCAACAACTAAGAATCTCAAAACTTCAATGCCTAGGATGAATATTATCTGCACAAGCTGATATTATCGAGTAGGGTAGCATGTATAAGGCTTCGTTTCATTTCAATAGTATCTACCGCAAGACTTGCGACAGCCTCGTGCTCTCTCCTCCTGATTCGATTGTTTCATATCATAATTTTGATGGCATATGGTATGCGTCTAAACCATTTCACAAGAAATTGCAGCTGTAAATCCCACTAGCNCCTCTCCTCCTGATTTGATTGTTTCATATCATAATTTTGATGCCATATGGTATGCGTCTAAACCATTTCACAAGAAATTGCAGCTGTAAATCCCACTAGCATTTGTTCAGAATACATGCAAAGAGTCGGAAACCACAATTTAATCTTTAATTTAGATCTTTGATGCTGGGTCAAAAAATGTTGCCATCCAAGAGATTTTGCTAATTTTGAATGGTCAAAGGGGATCCTTTGAACTAGGGAAAAATGTTCTCAAAAGAACCACAACCTGATGGTGATGAGTGATGGCCATCACATAATACAAAACCAAAAACTAATGCTTCCTAATAAAAGAAATGGGGAAATCATACTACCTTCGATGTTGGCGTATCTGCTCTCGTTCATCAAATGTGCTCTTAGGATCATAACAACCAAGTAGAAATTCCCATACTTCTCCTCTAATTGATGGATGGATCCCCTTTTTAAATGATGATAAATGTTAACCCTCAACATGAACATTTTGTTCCAGAGAATAAGTTTTATAAATGAAGAAAAAGGATAAGAGAAAACAAAGAAGCAATAAATAGCAGATTCCACTACATATCCGTGTTAACTGTTAAGTTGACATGAACTTAATATCCCTTTCAAAAACCAGCAATCATAAGAACAAGTGCCTAAGAAACAATGTATTGATTGCACCAGCATACATTAATCCCTAACCAGGCTTCAATAATATAATCTCATCCATGAATCATTACTAAATACAGAAAGCATATGTGTCATTTAAGCCTGGAAAGATGTCTTCTTACTTGGATGTATAACATAACAATGTAATTAGGGATCGAAAAAGGAACATAAGCATTGATTAGTGAAATAAATACACATAAGTGGCCTACAATTACAATTTAGTAACCGTATATCAGAACAAGAATGGTACCACAAAAATATCCCCTAAACAACAAGAAAATTACTCTTCTTTGTATTTGTAGATCAGATATTTGTCAAAGAAAGTGAATTGATCAAAAGAAAAATATATCGAGTTATGCTATTTGAAGTGTAAAGCGGTACAAAAGCAAGAATTACCTATAAGGTAAGTGCATAAAAAAGCACATTTAGACGGTTGGTTTACATGATTAGAAAAGGAAAAATGATAAACAAAGGTATTCCTTTTGTATGAAGATTTGGTATATCCAGGAAAACAGGAAAATTAGGGGGGGAAATTGTGCATGAATGAACATGTGACAGGAGATAAAAGAAAGTTATGCCGATTGAGATGGTTCATATACAGCAAGACCAGAAATATTGTTATGTGAAAGGCCAGTTCTAAAAGGTAGGAAACAAGTCATTCAGCCAGGATCAGGTGAAAAAACATCCCAGCATTTTGCATGTGGAACTATTATCACTTTTTAACCACAGGTGTTTCTTATATTGGCAATTTATTTGATATGCAGCTGATTGGTTTTATTTGTGCTTGATTTCAAGACTGATTCTCTTTATCTTCTGCTTTTCTTGTCTTTACTTGGCCAGTTAATAAGGAACACTTATTAAAAGTTGCTTTCTTTCCCATAAAGCTTATGGTCGTGCTTGGATTTATGCATATAGACAATTCAAACATACTATTGTGTGGTCCGACCGACAAGAGATTTTCCACGACATACATGAAATGTACGAGTCTATAAGATACCTAAGAACCAACAGACATCAGAATTCTCGTCCGAATTGATTTTATCTATGAAGAGCATCCATAATACCATTGAGACGATGTGATTCATGTGAGTTAAAGCTAATTCATGTAGTAATCCAAAGGATGTTATTAGAAAACATATAGAATCAAAGAAAAGGTAAAGCTCACTTTACAAGCATGCAGTAATCTTCGACCATGACAAAGAAATTTACCCCACGGCGGATCCGACTAAGTGTTCTGGCTATGTCGAGATAACCTTCTGGAGTGAACGCAGTTTGCCATTTCCTTGCACTTAGGGTCTTGCCAGCCTACATATCAAGATTTACAAAAACATTACAAAAAAAAAAAAAAGGCATCAGATGAGTAGTGGATTCCACCATTAGAGTTGGAAGCAAATGTCAAAAAACAAATCATTATGACATACTAAGAGGAGTCCAATGCTACTAATCTTCTAAAACTTGAACATGCATTCAGGAAACATAATTGAGACCAAAACCAAAGGAAAACGATGATCTCTAACACTTTATATACAAAGAAATAGGCGTGGGTTTGAATCCCCCCAAACCCCCACCCACCCAAAAAAAGAAAGAAAAGAAAACTCCATGCATATTTTGATCTCACAGAGACAGGATAAATACTTCAAATGCAAAGCAAACGAAAAATGGCCATTCGATGAAGATTTCACAAACCTTGATTCTGAACTTGGTTTTTGGAACATCGGTGCATTCAGGCCGAACCTGGTAGAAAGAATCAGTAGGTGCTCCAGCGTCCCACCACATTCCAGAATCTCAAAACAAGAAAAAACACTTTTACAAAACACAGGTTACTTCCAATTCTTCAAAATGAAAATCTAAACCAGCACCCACAAGCTGAATCCTCCAACAATCATCAAAACCCAGATCAAATTTTCCAGAACGAATTCCAAAGGGACCTAGATCCTGTGCTGCTGGGCTTTTGAGAGAAAAAAAAAATCATGCGACAAATTCAAAGAAAGAAAACAAAGAATATACGACAAGAAGTGTTTTTTATATTTTGAGTTTGTTTATGTTGTTTTGTCTTTGTATTTTTAGGGGAAGTTAGGAGGTGATGTGGTGGTGGGTGTGTTTATTACTCCGTCAAAGGTCGCTCAGATGACATGATGGGAGTGGTGAACTCGTCCTTCTTTCCATTTTCTCTCCCCAGTACATCATCCACACAAACAAGAGCCGCTTAATGCGGTAATTACTTTTCCTTCTCTCTCTCTTCCTCTTATTTGTCATAAATATGGGTGTTAGTACCATTATCAGAGCCAGAAAGGTGTGGGATCGAAGGAATTTGTGTTGGTGTCCAGTCGCCTTCCTTCTCAGTATGCATGGACCATGGATATGGAGTGTAGTGGAATTGAAATGGATAGTATGGGTGATGCTCACGCCCTTGTTTTGGTACTGGTTACGTGTTTAAACCAGTCATTGACTGGCCTGGTTAGCTGGCCATGGTCAACGCCATAGGTTTTTCCATCAAGATAGGCAGTTCTGAGATTGTTTCCTCCTTCCTCAAGCGCTGACCAAGTCCATTTAGCCATAGCCATACGAAGATTAGCATTCATAGACTCAACTTGACAAATGACATGGTAAGGAAGCTACTCCGAAAAGATGATACTTTGACCCAAGAAGAAACATTGAAAATGATACTAATTAATATTGTTTGTTAAATTCACTAATTATATTTTAATTCNATATGTATGGACCATGGATATGGAGTGTAGTGGAATTGAAATGGATAGCATGGGTGATGCTCACGCCCTTGTTTTGGTACTGGTTACGTGTTTAAACCAGTCATTGACTGGCCTGGTTAGCTGGCCATGGTAAACGCCATAGGTTTTTCCATCAAGATAGGCAGTTCTGAGATTGTTTCCTCCTTCCTCAAACGCTGACCAAGTCCATTTAGCCATAGCCATACGAAGATTAGCATTCATAGACTCAACTTGACAAATGACATGGTAAGGAAGCTACTCCGAAAAGATGATACTTTGACCCAAGAAGAAACATTGAAAATGATACTAATTAATATTGTTTGTTAAATTCACTAATTATATTTTAATTCTTTTTATTTTTTCAACGNATTTCACAAACCTTGATTCTGAACTTGGTTTTTGGAACATCGGTGCATTCAGGCCGAACCTGGTAGAAAGAATCAGTAGGTGCTCCAGCGTCCCACCACATTCCAGAATCTCAAAACAAGAAAAAACACTTTTACAAAACACAGGTTACTTCCAATTCTTCAAAATGAAAATCTAAACCAGCACCCACAAGCTGAATCCTCCAACAATCATCAAAACCCAGATCAAATTTTCCAGAACGAATTCCAAAGGGACCTAGATCCTGTGCTGCTGGGCTTTTGAGAGAAAAAAAAAATCATGCGACAAATTCAAAGAAAGAAAACAAAGAATATACGACAAGAAGTGTTTTTTATATTTTGAGTTTGTTTATGTTGTTTTGTCTTTGTTTTTTTAGGGGAAGTTAGGAGGTGATGTGGTGGTGGGTGTGTTTATTACTCCGTCAAAGGTCGCTCAGATGACATGATGGGAGTGGTGAACTCTTCCTTCTTTCCATTTTCTCTCCCCAGTACATCATCCACACAAACAAGAGCCGCTTAATGCGGTAATTACTTTTCCTTCTCTCTCTCTTCCTCTTATTTGTCATAAATATGGGTGTTAGTACCATTATCAGAGCCAGAAAGGTGTGGGATCGAAGGAATTTGTGTTGGTGTCCAGTCGCCTTCCTTCTCAGTATGCATGGACCATGGATATGGAGTGTAGTGGAATTGAAATGGATAGTATGGGTGATGCTCACGCCCTTGTTTTGGTACTGGTTACGTGTTTAAACCAGTCATTGACTGGCCTGGTTAGCTGGCCATGGTCAACGCCATAGGTTTTTCCATCAAGATAGGCAGTTCTGAGATTGTTTCCTCCTTCCTCAAGCGCTGACCAAGTCCATTTAGCCATAGCCATACGAAGATTAGCATTCATAGACTCAACTTGACAAATGACATGGTAAGGAAGCTACTCCGAAAAGATGATACTTTGACCCAAGAAGAAACATTGAAAATGATACTAATTAATATTGTTTGTTAAATTCACTAATTATATTTTAATTCTTTTTATTTTTTCAACGTCCAAATCAATTTATGTACACTTCGATTAATTCCTTCTTTGGTCAACTTACCCTGATTCGGTGTCTGGACCAATCCTAGACTAATCAACTTATGGGACTAATCCCCTCCCTAGGACTAATTACTTCCCTAGTTCAGTGTTCGAATCAACTTTTGCTCATTTTTACTAATCTCCCTCCCACTTTGATTAAAGACAGGTCATCCATTTATGAGAGATAAATATCTTATTTTTGACTCAGAAGATTGTCAAGTTTCGAACTCAATAAATCTAAACTTATAACTCATTAGATCTAAACTTATAACTCATTTATATTACCTCTGGAACTATAACCCTTCAACAATGCTTGTACTACACTAAAATCAATTGCGTAACTTATNAAAGAAACATTGAAAATGATACTAATTAATATTGTTTGTTAAATTCACTAATTATATTTTAATTCTTTTTATTTTTTCAACGGTCAAGACGTCCAGATCAATTTATGTACACTTCGATTAATTCCTTCTTTGGTCAATTTACCCTGATTCGGTGTCTGGACCAATCCTAGACTAATCAACTTATGGGACTAATCCCCTCCCTAGGACTAATTACTTCCCCAGTGTCCGAATCAACTTTTGCTCATTTTTACTAATCTATCTCCCAATTTGATTAAACACAAGTCATCCATTTATGAGAGATAAATATCTTATTTTTGACTCAGAAGATTGTCAAGTTTCGAACTCAATAGATCTAAACTTATAACTCATTTATATTACCTCCGGAACTATAACCCTTCAACAATGCTTGTACTACACTAAAATCAATTGCGTAACTTATTTTAAGTAAAAAGTGCCCAAACGTGTATTGATATAATTGGTCAACAAAAAAATATCGATAATTATAACAATGTGAGTGAAATGGCTACTATATTTGTAGGTGCATTGTGAGAAACATGATATTTTAGAGGGATAGTTTGAGATTAATAACATTAGTTGTAAGTATAATACAAAATATATGATTATTAAAAGAGGGTCAAAGTATAATTTATCACTCATTACAATAATTTGTTTTACTAGTGTAACAAAAAAAGGTTTTGAGCCACTGTTTACCCATCATCTAATTATATCATTTGGATATAATTTAGGGACCTAATTCTTCGCATTGTTTGAATTGGCAATGGACCCCAATAACAATTCTATCATTATAATTGATTAGATTGATAAATTAAGTTTAAGTAACATTGTATTAACGAATATTTGGTTAAATGGTACTCCTTACCTTATAAAAATTTTGTCTTTTTAAGGTCAACGGTCTATGTTCTTCTCCCCTTCTCCCCCTCTCCCCCCCCCCAAAAAAAAAAGAAGTGGCATTGCTCTTATTTATTGNTGTAAGTTAAATCCTTTTGTCATGTAGAAACACAGTTACAGTTATCCCGTACCCACTGTACGAGTTTATCGCTTATAGATGTTTTATAAGCAATAGCCGGTCTTAACTCTATTTTGAAGAGTTTAGGTCTATTCGGTTTGTTTTATCAAAAACTGTTTTTCTGTTTTCAAAAATAATTTTTAAGAGAAAAGTTGTTTACACAACTGTTTTTAAAAACTGAGAACAAAAAATGGATAGATTTAGAAAACTAGTTAGTACTATTTTTGTGTGTTTTTAAAAATAAACTTTTTTGGTATTTAGAAAACACCAACACCACCACCACCACCACGTCCAACACCACCACATTTCTATTTTTATTGTTTTATGGGTTACTGTCTAAACAAGTTTTACTGTTTTTATTATATAATCAAACAAGTTGTGCGACACAAAAAAAATTAATGCACACTTTTCTGAAACTCTTCTTAAAAATAATTTTTAAATACTACTTTTTAAGACGCAAACCAAACATGTCTAGCTTCCCCAAACAACTCAATAACATACCCCTTAAATGAATGAAATCAAACTGAAGTAACACATTTCAATTAGTTCTTCTGGTCATGTGACTACATTTACTGCTTTTCTGCAGTGTTTGTGTACCCAGCTGACAAAGACTCAGTGGTGAGGGTAACTAAGGAGGACTACACCAATTGCAACTCAGCAACACCACTTGATAAATTTACTGATGGCCACAGTGTGTTCAAGTTCGACCAATCTGGGCCTTACTATTTCATAAGTGGAGTTAAAGAGAACTGTCTTAAGAATGAAAAGTTGGTGGTGGTTGTGATGGCAGATAGAAACAACCGATCAAGCACAGAGGTTCCTCCATCTACAGCACCGGCAGGAGAGGAGGCTCCTTCGCCGCCTTCAGGATCGGTGGAGATAAACCCATCTCCATCTCCTTTTGGTGAGACACCTCCTCCTCCTCCTCCTCCTCCAAGTGGTGCTACTTCAATTTACATGGGGGTTATTGGCTGTGTTGGAACTTTCATTTCTTCCCTTGCTCTGGTTCTCTAAATTCAAGATGTGGATGAAGAACTTCATTGATTCAGTTTCTTTTGGTTGATTGTGTTTTGTTCTTTTTGATTTTCTCCCTCACCTTGATATACCAGTGGATTTAACAGGTCTTCAAGGGAAAGCTTGGTTGTTGATATTGATTGGTTTGATACAGCTGAGAAATAAAGTGATCATTGTACATAATTTGAGTTGGTGGTTGTCCTATATACAAACAAATACAATGCATATAATCAAATAAGTTGATTGTGTTTACAACAATTTGTTGTTTCCTTTTCAATGTCAATGAGAATTCAGCTATTTCTTAAGTTGATCCAAGTACACCCATTTTTTTTTTTACCTCATAATCTTGCAGATGACTTATAGGTCAAACTTTTTTATTACANCGTAAGTTAAATCCTTTTGTCATGTAGAAACACAGTTACAGTTATCCCATACCCACTGTACGAGTTTATCGCTTATAGATGTTTTATAAGCAATAGCCAGTCTTAACTCTATTTTGAAGAGTTTAGGTCTATTTGGTTTGTTTTATCAAAAACTGTTTTTCTGTTTTCAAAAATAATTTTTAAGAGAAAAGCTGTTTACACAACTGTTTTTAAAAACTGAGAACAAAAAGTGAATAGATTTAGAAAACAAGTTAGTATTATTTTTGTGTGTTTTTAAAAATAAACTTTTTTGGTATTTAGAAAACACCAACACCACCACCACCACCACCACGTCCAACACCACCACATTTCTATTTTTATTGTTTTATGGGTTACTGTCTAAACAAGTTTTACTGTTTTTATTATATAATCAAACAAGTTGTGCGACACAAAAAAAATTAATGCACACTTTTCTAAAACTTTTCTTAAAAATAATTTTCAAATACTATTTTTTAAGACGCAAACCAAACATGTCTAGTTTCCCCAAACAACTCAATAACATACCCCTTAAATGAATGAAATCAAACTGAAGTAACACATTTCAATTAGTTCTTCTGGTCATGTGACTACATTTACTGCTTTTCTGCAGTGTTTGTGTACCCAGCTGACAAAGACTCAGTGGTGAGGGTAACTAAGGAGGACTACACCAATTGCAACTCAGCAACACCACTTGATAAATTTACTGATGGCCACAGTGTGTTCAAGTTCGACCAATCTGGGCCTTACTATTTCATAAGTGGAGTTAAAGAGAACTGTCTTAAGAATGAAAAGTTGGTGGTGGTTGTGATGGCAGATAGAAACAACCGATCAAGCACAGAGGTTCCTCCATCTACAGCACCGGCAGGAGAGGAGGCTCCTTCGCCGCCTTCAGGATCGGTGGAGATAAACCCATCTCCATCTCCTTTTGGTGAGACACCTCCTCCTCCTCCTCCTCCTCCTCCAAGTGGTGCTACTTCAATTTACATGGGGGTTATTGGCTGTGTTGGAACTTTCATTTCTTCCCTTGCTCTGGTTCTCTAAATTCAAGATGTGGATGAAGAACTTCATTGATTCAGTTTCTTTTGGTTGATTGTGTTTTGTTCTTTTTGATTTTCTCCCTCACCTTGATATACCAGTGGATTTAACAGGTCTTCAAGGGAAAGCTTGGTTGTTGATATTGATTGGTTTGATACAGCTGAGAAATAAAGTGANGTTTCTTTTGGTTGATTGTGTTTTGTTCTTTTTGATTTTCTCCCTCACCTTGATATACCAGTGGATTTAACAGGTCTTTAAGGGAAAGCTTGGTTGTTGATATTGATTGGTTTGATACAGCTGAGAAATAAAGTGATCATTGTACATAATTTGAGTTGGTGGTTGTCCTATATACAAACAAATACAATGCATATAATCAAATAAGTTGATTGTGTTTACAACAATTTGTTGTTTCCTTTTCAATGTCAATGAGAATTCAGCTATTTCTTAAGTTGATCCAAGTACACCCATTTTTTTTTTTACCTCATAATCTTGCAGATGACTTATAGGTCAAACTTTTTTATTACAAATTGTTTAGTTTTGGGTTAACTATTTCTTCAAACTCAACAACTGACCATCGTAATTTGAACATGTTCCTTTTATGAACAAAGGTGACTAGATTTTAGAAAATGTGAGAAGGGATTAAACATAAGTCCTTTGAATTATCAAAGATCAGACTCAATCATTATATGTAAGTTATCTAAACATCTTATTAAACTAGAATTTGATCGATACAAACAACCATGAATTACATAGAAGTTAAATTTCTTAATAAAATTAAGAATGATATTAACTAAGTCTCACAACTAATTAAATAAGAGNAACAAAGGTGACTAGATTTTAGAAAATGTGAGAAGGGATTAAACATAAGCCCTCTGAATTATCAAAGATCAGACTCAATCATTATATGTAAGTTATCTAAACATCTTATTAAACTAGAATTTGATCGATACAAACAACCATGAATTACATAGAAGTTAAATTTCTTAATAAAATTAAGAATGATATTAACTAAGTCTCACAACTAATTAAATAAGAGTGATTTTCTTGTGGACCTCCAATTAGTGAGAATTTAACTTCCAATTAGCCAATAATATTTTTTTTTTTTTGGAGATTTGAAAGACTGATAAAAAATTATGACTTTATCCAAAATTTGGGGTTAATTGCATTGAAAGTTTCTAAAATATGAGGATTGTTTTATTTCGGTTGCTAATGTTTCAATTATATCATTTTGATCCTTAAAGTATGGAATATGTTTCTATATGGTCCCTCAAGCAGATAACATCCAGATTACTAACAACCTTTTAACATTAACTTGTCACGTAATACCTAAATATGAATAAAAAATAATTTTGATAGCTTTTAAATAAAATTTGGGTAACTCTTACACAAAAAATGTGTAATATGGATAGATTATAATAAAAAATTGTTAACAATCTGAACAATATCTGTTTGAGGGACCATATAAAAACATATTTAATACTTTATGGATCAAAATGATGCAATTAAAATATTGGAGACTAAAATGAGACAAACCTCGTATTTTTGGGACCTCCAATGTAATTAACCCCAAAAAATTTATAAAACTCCTATCGTCTATACGGCATCGTTTTATGCTCTTCGGCGTACATTTAAAAAGAGCTCCCATCGTCTCTGAAATCCAGCGGAGGTTGCAGACATGGCCAGTAGAGCGATACTTGGAACTTTCAAAAATTATTCCTTCACTTCCCGAATCCCCAGAGCTTATAGATCTGTAAGCTTCATCTTCTTCTGTATCCGACTCTAAATCTAGATTTTGATGCTCACATATATGTATGTATGTATGNTTCAATTATATCATTTTGATCCTTAAAGTATGAAATATGTTTCTATATGGTCCGTCAAGCAGATAACATCCAAATTACTAACAACCTTTTAACATTAACTTGTCACGTAATACCTAATATATGAATAAAAAATAATTTTGATAGCTTTTAAATAAAATTTGGGTAACTCTTACACAAAAAAATGTGTAATATGGGTAGCTTATGATAAAAAATTGTTAACAATTTGAACAATATCTGTTTGAGGGATCATATAAAAACATATTTAATACTTTATGGATCAAAATGATGCAATTAAAATATTGGAGACTAAAATGAGACAAACCTCGTATTTTTGGGACCTCCAATGTAATTAACCCCAAAAAATTTATAAAACTCCTATCGTCTATACGGCATCGTTTTATGCTCTTCGGCATACATTTAAAAAGAGCTCCCATCGTCTCCGAAATCCAGCGGAGGTTGCAGACATGGCCAGTAGAGCGATACTTGGAACTTTCAAAAATTATTCCTTCACTTCCCGAATCCCCAGAGCTTATAGATCTGTAAGCTTCATCTTCTTCTGTATCCGACTCTAAATCTAGATTTTGATGCTCACATATATGTATGTATGTATGGAGACGCACTATTTCTATATTCCAGTATCCGTATCAAATGAAAGTGACTGATTAGGCATTTCTATTAATTTGTGAGAGTTGAAGTGNGTATAGAGACGCACTATTTCTATATTCCAGTATACGTATCAAATGAAAGTGACTGATTAGGCATTTCTATTAATTTGTGAGAGTTGAAGTGTTTTTTTCCCCTTGCTATTATGCCTTTTTCATATCTAAGTACTGTAATTTGTGAAATCTATTGGGGATTTGCAAAGCCAGAAAGCGAACGTAGCAAGGGAAATCGATTTTTGGATAGAAGCATGTGATCCTGTTTTGAAACTGATTCTTTGTGGATACGTAGAAAGTAATTGGGGTTGATTGTGCAGTAATTTGCTCATTAGAACGTTAAAGTTAAGTCTGTTTGATAGCATTGGGACTGTTACATTGGATTCAATTTTTACCTGGGAATCATATCCCCTATTTGAATTGTGTCTTGGTGATAATTTTCTTGCTTTTGGAAGCAAAAGTAAAATCAACAGAGCAAAAGACATGATGTTGAAATGGAAGCAATTGTTTTTGCTTTTTGGGGACATAGTCACATACCGGAACAATTACCATCACCATCGCAAAGCACTGTCATACAATCTACTATCATTGTTCTGGCTGTCACCTTTTGCCCTTACCCATCATCATTGCCACTTCATCGCTATTATAACTCCAACTCCCCATTCACACCAGTCCGTGTATGCTTTCTTTCTTCAGTGGAACATTAGTTTCAGTTAGCAATGCCCGTGTTTAGCTTCTTAATTTGCTATGTTGCCCAGAAAAAAATATAAGTACTTGACAGTGCCTTACTTTTATCACACATCTTCCTCAGAGTCTCAAAAAAGCCTTATGAGCTATGTTTTCATTTGACGGGAAAGAGCAATCAGACCAGTGAAAGACACATCTTTGACTAACAAAGTACCTCACGAAAAACCCCAAGCATGCATATTCTTATACCTGGAAAAGCCAATTTTTTCAATCATTTTATGAGTACCACACCATGCTTGCAGACTATCTTTAAGGGTGCATATGATTCGTGGAAACATAACCTTGCAAGTTGCAATTGTTTTTATAATTGTGTGAAGATGTAGTTGTTTTGCTTTGTTGTGAAGGTGGTTATCCGGCAAATAGTTTGGTACTTATAAAAAAAAATTGTCTCATGTGTTTCTAATTTTTTTTTCCTTCTTCCACATAGCTTAGCACTTTAGTCTTAGCCGAACATGACAGTGGATTGCTCAAGTCGCAGTCCTTGAGTGCAGTAGAAGCTGCAAAGTCCTTAGGTGAGGACAATTCTGTCTCTATGCTACTGGCTGGATCAGGTCCTTCCCTTCAAGAAGCTGCTGCACATGCTGCCTCATGCCATCCTTCCATTTCTCAGGTAGGTTGAATTTCTTCTACAGATTGCCTTGGTCAATTGATCTATATTGTTTGTGGCTAGACAATGTGAGTCAGTTGCCGAAGTAATCATTTTATGATTTTGTTTTAAGCAATTGTTTGCATTAATTCTGAAAATTCATTTCTTTCCTGTAGAATTAAAAACCTCGAAAAATAAGATCCTTTCTTGTCGAAACCGACTTTTAACATATTAAGGAAGAACAATATCTTAGTTTCCAGCGGATGAACAAAAGGATAAAGTCAGCCTATGGACGTTGTTTGGTTCTAATTTAGATATTTTTTTCTCGTTTAGGTGCTCGTGGCTGATTCTGATAAATTTATGTATCCTCGAGCAGAACCATGGGCTAAATTAGTCCAATTGGTTCAGCAGAAAGGTGGATACTCACATATAATTGCTGCTTCAGGTTCGTTTGGGAAAAATATACTACCGCGTGCAGCTGCCGTTCTTGATGTTTCTCCTGTTACTGATGTCATTGAAATGTCAGGATCTCAAATTTTTGTCAGGTTGCCAACATTATCATCCTAAATTCTTTTTTCAAACAACAGTTGCTGTAAAAATTAATGCCCTTTCTCTCACTGTTTGGATTGAATGCCGATGTTTTTTAAGTGCTTTATTCACNAATTTCAGTTGTTATTCAGAGCTGTGAACGGATGCCAACATTATCATCCTAAATTCTTTTTTCAAACAACAGTTACTGTAAAAATTAATGCCCTTTCTCTCACTGTTTGGATTGAATGCCGATGTTTTTTAANTGCCAACATTATCATCCTAAATTCTTTTTTCAAACAACAGTTGCTGTAAAAATTAATGCCCTTTCTCTCACTGTTTGGATTGAATGCCGATGTTTTTTAAGTGCTTTATTCACATTTCACTGCAGCCTTTATCAAGTCTTTAGTCGTGTGCCGTATGACCATATCATTGTCTGCACACACAAAGAAAATGTATCATCTCTTGAGTAAAAACTGATTAGACTTCATTTGCCAAGTTGGACTTCAACCCTGTACAACCCTCCTTTTGGGGTGGCAGGAGAGGCAGTGAAGTTAACAGCCTGTGGTTGTGTCTTTTAATATGATGTATACATGCATGTGATCAGTGTATGGCCTTTGGAGCCTGAATTTTTCTCCCCTCATGTTGTTGAAGGACACATTTGCCCTTGGTGGGTGTGACCTTGTGAGATCAAGTATGCAGCACTTGTTTTTTCCATAGTAGACAAAATACTTTGAAGGCTGTTTGCAATTTAGTTGATGTCATTCGAAGAGCATAACTTTTAGAAGCTTTTAGAAGTGATAAATAGATTAAAATCAATGGCCACATTCAACTGTTAAAAGTTGTGATTTCCCTTATGAAAATGCCATATTTACCAAATTGCGGCTATTTATTGGAAGCAAACACCACTTAGAGCATACTGCACCTCAATCATCTTGGGTTGGAGGCGCATCTTGTGTGCCTTTTGGCAAGACACAGGGCAGACTCATTATAGACTTTAATCAAAAGATTTCTTCTATATGACAGGCCAATTTATGCTGGAAATGCTCTTTGTACTGTTCGATACACTGGTTCAAACCCTTGTATGTTGACCATTAGGTCTACCTCTTTTCCGGTGGCCTCGAAGTCAGCTGATTCAAAACCTAATCCTGCGCCAATTGACCAGGTTGATCTCTCAACCTTTGGCGAAGGTCTGTTAATTATTTTCTAATCACTAACATGTTTTGTCATCTGGGCTTCTCCCTGTCTGCAAAGTTTTTCCATTGTTTTTGTGAAAACCCAATCCGCGGTTTTACTTGAAAAAACAAGCATATCTTGTTTTTTTATTTTAATGTCTAACCAATAGCTATTGTTGGATTTTCTGTGTACTCTTTGACTAACAGTATTGTTTATAAATTTTGCACATCGGATCTATTTGGTGGTTCATTTTCTTTACCTTCCTTGTTCATATCATCCTATTTGTCTTTTGTTTGCAGATGCAATTGCTCAATCTCGATATATAGGACATACATCTCAGGATACAGAACGTCCGGACCTCGGAAATGCACGTGTTGTAGTTACTGGGGGTCGAGGTTTGAAAAATGCTGAGAACTTCAAAATGATAGAGAAGCTTGCAGAGAAACTTGGTGCAGCGGGTACTTCCTCTTCTTAACTTTTTCTTTTCTGAACCACCGATGAATTATTTTTTTTTTCTGTTTTGTTAAACTTTATATGATCTCTTGATTTTTTATTTTTTTTGTTCATATTTGAAGTTTGAAAATTTTCTTATTTCTTAACCTAAGTTACACCCTTAGGCCGTAGGACCTAGGCCTGTCAATATGACCTATACTTCATTTGTATTATAAATTAGGATCCAACTTGAAATGACACTTGTTCTGTCTTATTATGTCACAGTTGGTGCCACTCGTGCTGCTGTTGATGCTGGGTTTGTTCCTAATGAACTTCAGGTAATGCCTCCGATGGTTGCTTTAGGATATCATTTGGCATCTTTTCCATGACCCTCCTCGTGATTTCCACTTTTTCGTGCTTTGAAACTCATTTTCATAAATGCAAGCCCATAATTGAGAAATGATCGCCATCCAATCGAAATGCTGTAATGGGTTAAGCTTGATTGTATCTTGGAATGAAAATGCTCATATTAATTTGAATGTGCAAGATTATTTTCAGCTGTATCTTTGCCTAGTGCTGATATTTATTAGCTGGTATTCCAATTATTAAGGTTTTATAGGAATTATCATGCTGTCGTTCAGAGTTGTGACTTGAATCTCCACGAATTGATGATGCTCATTAGTAGCCTTCTAATTTTTCCTACGGGTCACTTGTGTATGTTAAAAATAGTCTACTTCCTTGTCGCACTCGCAAGTCTCCTTTTCAAAATTTTCGCTCTTCTAACAATGGATGTTGGCTTTGAGTCAGGTTGGTCAAACTGGAAAGATCGTTGCCCCAGAACTGTATCTGGCTTTTGGTGTTTCCGGAGCCATTCAACACTTAGCAGGCATGAGAGATTCTAAGGTCATTGTTGCTGTAAACAAAGATGCAGACGCACCCATATTCCAGGTAATTGCTAACCCCCCCCCCCCCCCTTCTCTCTCTCTCCATTGTTTTCATATCATTTGAGTTACCCATTTGCAACAATGTGGTACAGCTGGATTTGGTGATGTTTCAAATTCTATATTTAGATATCTAGACTTTTAACATTGGGAGAAAATGAAATGAGGTAGCCTTGCCCAGCAAAGAGGCCCGTGTGAAAGAACACCTCATTCTTGTAGGTTGGAACTTGGACGCTTGGAGCTTATAGTTGATTCATAACTAATTTTACTGGCGTTGAAAATCCTCAACAAACTTGGATTTGTAACACCCTAAAAAGTTAAAATGTTTCCTTATATCACACACTTGCACAAGCATGTGAACTGAACATATTATCAGGACCCCTCAAAGACAATCTCTCTCTGAAAACTCCGCGCATGCTACGGCTAAATGGTGGTATTGTGATATATTAACTGTTTTTCACCTTCGGTAAGACATGTTTGATAATAGACATTGAACGTATTTGCTTGCATTTGAACTTCACTTTCCGGTGGACTTTTTGGATTGCAGGTTGCTGATTATGGTCTTGTAGGCGATCTGTTTGAGGTGATTCCAGAGTTGCTAGAGAAGTTTCCTGAGAAGAAGTAAACCATTTTATTCAACTTACCAAGTGCCAAAAACTAATGAATTTCTTGAAACCAGAACGTTGGATATGAATAACAACGAGGATGATGATAATTGTACCTTGATGACAGCAGTCATTAAATGATTTCCAGCCAAAAAAAAATACATATTTTGAGGTACATTTTGCCAATGATAGATAGAAGCACTGCAGGTCTAATTTTCCCCCATATAATTTCCTTCGTTTTAGATCACATAACAAGAGTCTTAAGTGATGATATCTATTATATTTAGGTGAGTTTGTGCTCAATTCACGGTAAGTAGTTCATTACAATGAGAAATAGAAAGAAAATGCATTTGTTTTTTGCTCATTAAAAAGTGGTTAGGGGTGGCCAAGCGTAACAACTCTTCGGGACGTCATCTTGAGGTTTTTATTTGTTATAGAATGTTTATTTTGAGTCATAATTATTAACTTGGGATGATTGAGTTCATTATCACAAATGACAAGTTAAACATTCAACCCATCTTGTAATATTTGGTTTATAGAAATTATTATCAAAAGTGGGCTTGAACTCATGACCACTAAAAGAAGGCAAAACTTTCACCTTTTGTTGAAAGCCAATTAGATTTACACCTCGGTGGTGAAAGAAAATGCATTTTAAGGGAAAGCATAACATGATTTATGCCCCTGATACTGCTTGCCCATCTTTCTGCTCGAGGAAGGTGAAAAAACAAAAACAAAAACAAAAGCAAATTAGGAAGGATCACCCAAGAAGCAATCTATTCTACGTTAAGTCACAAATTTCCTCAAGCTCAGAACTCGGCAAAGCCAATTGTAGTATGTAACATAAAGTTCACTGTATATAAATAATATAAGAGTCTAATTACCTAAAGAGCGCATCTGGTGTAGTGGTATCATAGTACCCTCCCACGGTACTGACCNTACTCGGTAAAACCAATTGTAGTATGTAACATAAACATAAAGTTAACTTTATATAAAGAATATAAGAGTTTACTACCTAAAGAGCGCATCTGGTGTAGTGGTATCATAGTACCCTCCCACGGTACTGACCGGGGTTCGATTCCCCGGATGCGCATTTCTTTTATTTTCACAACATTTATTTTTCTTTTTTTTTTAATAAAAAAAAAAACTAAGAGCCACTGATGAGCTGTACTCTTAACGACTAGCTATATAGGGTTGTTTCAATCTTCAACATCTATTGTTGAAATGCATGAGAGAGAGAGAGAGAGAGAGAGAGAGAGAGAGACGGTTGTTTATTTTTCAACCGGTGTATTGAAAAATAATTTTTTAGCATCGGACTTTACTTTTTATTCAATAAAATTTTGACATGTGTAAAAAAATTTTATGTTATTATTTTATATTTTTTAATATTAATTACAATATCAATGGTTGTAAATCAATTAAATAAAAATTTAGTGATTCTCGATTAACTTCAGTATACTACGTAGTTTTTTCTTTTTGTATGTTTACAACAGTGTTATCCTTCGGTCAAGAGCTAGCCGGANCCGATTAACTTTAGTATACTACGTAGTTTTTTCTTTTTGTATGTTTACAGCAGTGTTATCCTTCGGTCAGGAGCTAGGCGGATTAGGGGTCTTCGGATAAATGGCCTAAACCCCAATCGGCACCTTGGTAGAGTTAGAAATTAACTATAAATTCAGACATTTTAAATTCGAAATTTGATAATTCCCTTAAAGTCAAGCTATGAAAGATAAATCTTACCCTTGAATATCCAAGTTGCATCATTCTTATTTTTATGTCTAATCACATCTTCAAGAAGCTAAAAGGTAGAAGATTTGAGCATGTTTCGGGTCATACATGGATTGTACCAAGTTAAATCTTAGGAAAGATCTAACGAAACAAAAATTGCTACCAGAGAGATTGAGATACAATTTAACGAGATCAAAGTGACTTAGTATGAACTATCGAGTGGTGTGGTTTAGCAGTGTATTGGCCGAACCTTTCACCCTGAGACTGGAGGTTCGAATTTTAGAGTTCGGTAGTTGACCGTTCTGTTAGCTTAGCTAGGTTTGTTCTCGAGATGAGTAATTGGTGTAGTCAAAGGTTTTATGATTCCACTAATGAGGGTCTATCAAGATGGTCTTTAGAAGCTCTTCTTTGCCCCCACCTCTTTTTCTTACCAACAAAAAAAAAAAAAAAAAGTGGCCAANTCGATTAACTTCAGTATACTACGTAGTTTTTTCTTTTTGTATGTTTACAACAGTGTTATCCTTCGGTCAAGAGCTAGCCGGATTAGGGGTTTTCGGATAAATGGCCTAAACCCCAATCGGCACCTTGGTAGAGTTAGGAATTAACTATAAACTCAGACATTTTAAATTCGAAATTTGATAATTCTCTTAAAGTCAAGCTATGAATGATAAATCTTTCATAAATTTCTCTAGTCCCGACGTGAATGAGTTTGTTTTTGATCAAATTGGAGAAAAAATTAATCAAAATACGTATAAATTGACCCACATAACCCTGATCGTAATATCAAAATATAAATGGCCTAACTCTTTTAAACACATAATTAGGGACGGGATACTCCCCACTAAGATTCCTTCGTCGAATATGAATAAAAGTAGCTAACATCATTGAGCATTTGGATGATATAATTAAGTCGGCTGGGGGGTTGAGGTCATAATGTATATGTTTAGTACAAAATGTCAACTATGACCCTTGAATATCCAAGTTGCATCATTCTTATTTTTATGTCTAATCACATCTTCAAGAAGCTAAAAGGTAGAAGATTTGAGCGTGTTTCGGGTCATACATGGATTGTACCAAGTTAAATCTTAGGAAAGATCTAACGAAACAAAAATGGCTACCAGAGAGATTGAGATACAATTTAACGAGATCAAAGTGACTTAGTATGAACTATCGAGTGAGGTGGTTTAGTAGTGTATTGGCCGAACCTTTCACCTTGAGGTTGGAGGTTCGAATTTTAGAGTTCGGTAGTTGACCGCTCTGTTAGCTTAGCTAAGTTTGTTCTCAAGATGAGTAATAGGTGTAATCAAAGGTTTTATGATTCCACTAGTGAGGGTCTATCGAGATGGTCTTTAGAAGCTTTTCTTTGTCCCACCTCTTTTTCTTACCAACAAAAAAAAATAAAAAAGTGGCCAAGCCCGACAATTTGGGGTTGCTGCTGGAAAATTGCAAATAAATCCCAATTAAGTTTTGTGGATCTATCATAAATGGATTTTATTTTTTTATTTCCTTCTTTCCTCAATTTGTGCATGAAGCCAAATTTTATTCTCTTTGATGTTCTTTTACGTAAACACATGCGATACTTCGTATTTGTATTGTTGGTTGTTCGGTTGATTAATACCTTAAGTAAGAACTAGAAACAAGTTAGCTATTGTGGAAGTCCATCGTCATAAAGTTACGGTTCTTTGGAGAGAATGAAAAGACGGTACCCCTNAAATAAATCCCAATTAAGTTTTGTGGATCTATCATAAATTGATTTTATTTTTTTATTTCCTTCTTTCCTCAATTTGTGCAGGAAGCCTTGATGTTCTTTTACGTAAACACATGCGATACTTTGTATTTGTATTGTTGGTTGTTCGGTTGATTAATACCTTAAGTAAGAACTAGAAACAAGTTAGCTATTGTCGAAGTCCATCGTCATAAAGTTACGGTTCTTTGGAGAGAATGAAAAGACGGTACCCCTATTAGAACACAAGACAAGTTTAGTTGACAAATTATTTTTTTCCCGGGGAAAGAATCATTGTTGTAGTCAAAAAAAGGATGTGCTATATTTGAAATGTAAGAAATATAGTAAATATCGTAAAAGACAAATTTAAGAGGAGTTGCAAACCGGACAGTACGCAACTTGGTTTTGGAAGATAATGACTCCAAGAAAAGAAGCCAAGCCCTAGGCTAAGAACAGAGAGCTCAAGATCAAGAGCCAAAATCAACCCTCAACTGAAAAAAGAGAGAGATGACAGATGACACACACACACACACACACACACAAAGAGAGGGGGGGGGGGAGAGAGAGAGAGATCTAGAGAGGTTGAATTGCTAGTGCATTGATGATAGAATGAAGATTAACCAAAATAATTTGCTAGCATTGACAAAGGTACTAAGCAAAGCCCCCTTTTCTTCAGTTCTGTATGGTCACTATCAGTTCCAATATTATCAGACTGAATGCTCTCTTCTGTCTGCCCACAATTATTACCTTTCTCCTACAAAACCCACAAAGCAAATTAATACCTATGTGTTAGGCAACAAATAAGACAATATATACCAGCAAATCAACCACAAAGATGGAGTAAACCATGGAAAAAAACCCATAAATATCAGTTCTTTTACCTGCAAAATGTCCTTATTTTCCTTTTTGTTCATGTCTGATTGAACCAAATAAGAAACCTATTTAACAAAAAAATTAAAAAAAAATTGAAAAACAACTGATGATGAAATTTACTTGTGTACACTAAACACCCACAACTAAGCTGGATTGAAATAAGAAACCTATTGAAGAAAAAGAAACAAAAATATGGAAAACCTAACCTGACATACATAGCTATATGCATTCATAAAATCAAAAGAATCTGATGAATTCACTACCATTATACATAAACATAGCCATCTTGAGAGTTCAAATTTTAGCTATTCATTAGGACCAGGTTATGAGAGATTTATCCTCATGAATATTTTAGTCATCACATGGATGACTTACCTTTGACAGGATCAGGGAGAACATTAGTCGAGGTGTGTGTAAATTAGCTCAAACATTTCTACCTGTTGCACGAAAAAAAAAATATATATAAATACAATCTTATCCGACCTTTGGACTATTTACAGGAGAACTAGCAGTATCCTCCAAAGCATCATCAACTGCTGCTCTTCTCGTTTTCCTCTTCTTAAAGCTCAAATTCTTACAACTTTTATCCAAAGAAAACCCCACAGCCTGATCATTATCAGCCAACTTCTTTGCCACTGAAGAGTTACCAGCATCTGAAACTAGAGAAGGGCTTTCATTCCCAGAGGACAAAGGACTGTGTCCATGATTGTCACATAAGAAGTCCTCCAAATAAAAAGTCCAACCACTCTCCTCAGTAGAATCTACTGATCTTCCCTCAGAAAAGAGAGCACTATTCTTGGATATCATGGAGTTATCCATCTATAGAGCATGAAGTAGATTGGAAAAGAATGAAGTTAGGTTTGTTGGCCAGTTTTGGAGAAGACCACATAAGTTGATATTTATATAGTGGAGAAAGAACTATACAATAAGGGAGAAGATGAACTCAATGGGTTTGGAATCTGGTACTGTGGGCCTGAGGGAGTTGGGGTAGTTAAATTGAGCAGCTGCAACCAGAAAACAAAGAGAGAGAGAGAGAGAATTTGACCTTTGTGGCTCCACATTAGATTATCAGCAACGGAGATGTGCCAAATCTTATTTACTTTGGTTTGGACTTTCCTTCCCACTAAATACTTTGAATGAGTCACCAAAATGACTTGGACCAGTTCTTTGGTCATTTTGTCATCTCTGGAATTGTTTGTATCTTGTTTATGTAAACATACCTACCAAAAGAATCATTATGCTCCTAATGGAAACTTTTCTATTTATATAACAAAACCATTTAAAGAAATTAATCCTCAAAAGAAATATAGTTAAACAGGGACTCAAATTCTCAGTAGAATAATAAAGAACAATTAAGTTTCTAGGTGGAATTTTCAAGTTGAAATGTGTTTTATTGTTTGTATGTTATCTGGAGAGAGAGAGAGAAGAGGAGACTTTTGATCACCAAATAAAGTTCTGTTGCTTGTTTTCAAGTCATCCATTGAAAATAAAATGTATTACCTCATCAATATAGAGTGGAATGAATGATTCTTTGACTTCACCCAGAAAGAAACATAAAGAAATTGTTGAAGAAAAAAAAAACAGAAACAGAAAAAGGAGCCTATGACTTTGAGGAATTAAAAGTTTCTGCACTAGATTGGTATTGGATGAGGTCGGTTAAGTTGTTTAGTTATTTTTGTTCTGCTGATAACATCATCCATTACCTTATAAAGATCACAATCACAATCACATTTATTGGTTTGATTTTTTTCTAATCGGTGAATCGAGAGAGTTTGTGTTATAAACATGAGCTAAATAATAAAACATCACGAATGTTCTTCATTTTTTAGTAGCTTTGGTGATTAATGTCTCATAGTCTTAGGTACTTGTCTCGTAAGGGGTTAACTCGATATACATTCTTTGTGGGTGATTATACAAATTCAGATCATATCACAATTATGAGTCTAGACGTCATGTGGTTACGATGATCTCTATTAGTTGAAAACGTATGTACAATTCGTAGAATATAAATAGAACCAACTAAAAAAAACATTCCTAAAGAAACTGAAGATCCAAACTATGAAAGGCCAAATATTTGTTGACCTAGAATGCTTAAGTTCAAGAAGGCATGAGTTTTCCATAAAAATCCTTCCATGTGAACCACCATGCAAGTATCTATCACCTGTTGTCTGCATTGTGGGAGTCCTTTGCAAAGGACAATAATTGAAGGGGTCATGTCCTTACTCCTCTTGCATCCCTCCATCACCTGCCCTTTTTCATGTCCCATCCAAACATCTTTACTGTTTCTTTTTTGCATTCTTCCAACCAAGCCATCCTCATCTATTAATTAGCTATTTTCACCTGAGCAACACAACCCAATCAACTCTCTTCGTCTACTAATTAGCTATATTCACCTAAGCAGCACAACCCAATCAACTCTCTCTCTCTCTTTCCCTTTATCAACTACAAAACAGATACACAAGGTTTCAACTCTAACCGGTCGACACAAACCCGATTATAAAATTGATACGATTATTAAAAATATATGATAAATTGTTTAGATTAATGTTTGATACTTAGAACACATTAATTTTTTTTTCTCGTGTGTCTTGACACAAACATGACATAAATAATAATGACACGACACAAAAATATCGACACGTAGGTTACCTGACACAACACAAATCGACTCATACCCAACAATGATTGCATTTCCTTCATGTACGAGGAATTTTTTGTAATATTTATAAAGGTAGTCGAAGAGAATCTCTCTACATGCATATTAGGACCTTTAATCGGCCTCTGGCACACCCCCCCCCCCCCAACAAAAAAAAAGAGAGAAAAGAATTAGAATTAGTAGAGAGAGAGAGAGAGAGAGAGAATGAGGATTAGTAATAATCTTATATAGAGAGATCAAACTTAGAACGATGATATGCACTTATTAGATGCATCTCAAGGTAAGAGTCTAAGAATCAAGGTCTCCAAAACAAAAATAAAACTATGAATTACTAAGGCCGTGTTTGTTTTGGTTTCGCAAAATTGTTTTTTGCTTTCAAATATAAAAAACTGGTAAAAACCTATTTGAACCGAGGAGTTTTGTAGAACTGTCATAAACAGCAAGTTTTGCAATGTTATTCACATTTTGAAGTGTCATTAGTCATACATTCTAGTAGTGGGACATTGATCAAGTAGGTCATTTATTTGTGGCACATGAGATGACTATTTTGCACCAACTTTCATGATTCCCATTGCCATTTTGATATTAAGCAGAAGAAAAAAAATAAAGGACAAGGACAATGGAATGCGATGTGTACTGACTACATGTTGCATTTAAATTTGGTTGATTTTATCGTGTATCTCTTTTGGGGGTAAAAAATCAATATACGAGTCACGGGTAAGAGGAGATGGTAGCAGTCGAGGGTTTAAGCAGTGGGTCCCTTTGCTTTTTTGATTGAAATATATATATATATATATATATATTTTATTTTTAATGTGTGAGAAACACCTCAATTATATGTTTTGAACTCGTAATCATTACATAAATGTAAATATATGCAATTACTTATACATGTATAGCCGGTCAATAAAAAAAATGTCTTGTACTTTGAGATATCAAAATATTAATAACGAAAAATCCTAATATTCCAAGGAATTAAATTTTATTTCAAAACAGTTGGGACGTCGAAATATTTCTGTTTCAATAAAAATTAAAACAAATCATTAATTAAATATTAAAAATCCTTAAATCGAGATGTTTCGAGATAGTTCGGCGTATTTGAACCAATGTTCCGGTTGTTTCGACAGGTGTTTCAGAAATAAATTTTTAATTTTTTTTTGTTTCATCTTATTTTCAAAATATTACAAAAATATTTTTATTTTTAAATACCAAAATAAAATTTTGATTCTTCTTTGTGTCATTGAAACTTAAACAAGAGTCAACAAAACTCATTTTCAATGACATCGCGATGAAGTGAATCGAGGCAAGTGAATTGTTTTGTATGTTTTTTCTGTGCATGTTCTGTCCAAAAAAAACCTCAAGGGTTGGGGTCCACAATTTAGGTCAAATGCTTTGTATTTTTAACTCTCCCTCAAATGTGTACAGATCATTCACGATTATAAGTAATTCTATATAATCAAAATAAAATTTTAAAAATTATAACTCAAATATATATTATTGGATTTTTTTTTATAATTTTATCTAACACTTATGTAAAAAATAATATTCATTTATATTGTATTTTTAAAATTTTATTTAAATTATGTAACATTTTTCCACGATTATTTACGGTGATAGTTAGAGAAATGGTTCTTTCAAGGGTCAATCATTCAAGTAAGGAATATGAATGCCCATGTGGGCCATCAAATTGCTCTGCACATGCTATCACATGAGAAGTTGCACACACTCGGACAAATGACTCACCAAGCTTTAATTATACAGGATTTTTTTTTTTTTTTGGGGGAGGGTAATACACTTCTAATTTTAAAACCCAACACCTATTCAATGGTTGAAATTATCAAATCTAATTTTTAAATCTATCGAACATTACTCTTTTAAAATTAGGAAAATGTAACCACAATAAAATGTTTTGTGCGCAGGTGAGCATGTGTCTCCATCCACGCCACACCTGGGGTCGGATCTCTACAGAGAAGAGAAACAATTATTGTCACGTGATATCATTATTTATATAAAATAATTAGTCATTATTCTTGTTTAAAGATACTCTTAATACTAAAAAATTGTCAAGCAAATAGGTCATTCTAGAATGTCTTACAAAAAAGAAGTGCAAGGATTGAAATGAAAAAATTATATCACATTAATACAATCTGAAAATCCTTATGAACTTAAATTAACACCATTACAAAATTATTTTGTCATATATTTTTTCATGGCAACTCTTCTTTCTAATGAGTTCATTTTTTCCACCTCTTGCTAAATCTAATAAATATGTTGTTTAGTTCACATTGAACTACAAATCAAATTTTCAAAAAAAATAAACCCCAACTGAACAACATTGTCCAGCGAATCTTCCCTTGGAATAGAAAGCCTCATTTTCCAGGAAGGATATCCGAAAATGAAAAATCATGAAATGGAGGACCTGCAACAAAGAGAAAAATGTCTCAAGTTTACTTCCATATTAGTTTAACTCCAAAAGAAGTGAAGCTACAATATTGGTTAATGAGCCCAACTGATGGTGGCATTTCGTATACTCCCTGGGGTATGGGTATAGATAGTGGCTAGTCAGTATCATCATAGGGACGTTACTTTTTGAAAAAATATTACATGTTCATGGAAATTTAATCCCAGAAAGCGAACATTTTTGGCATAACATAAAGGGTGCCATAACATTGTACAGCATTTTCAAGTAACAGTTGCCTAGTCTATGAAAACGGCACGCAAACATTCACTTAAAACATTGTTGAACAAGGAACACGTTTAATTTGACTATAACAGTATGCCATGACACCATCTAGACAAACATATGCTATGACACATTTCAGAGAGTTGTAAGTGAGGATTTTTCGGTGCAGCTAAGCATAATTTCCAGAAAACTCCATTAGAAATATCATTTACCTTCTTGTTCACTTAGAATGTAAAATGGAACATGTGCAATCATTTTTGAGCCGCCCTCGATCCACCTGACACTGCCTGGAGGCATGTATTCACTTGAAGGTCTTGAAGGACCTAAGACAGACGAACATATTGCAGGCTCATTCATTAAGCCCAAATAATCACGTGCACGTCTCCAGACCCTCACATCTGAGATACGAGAACGGGCCACCTGTAATGTAGATTCAATATTTTAGTTGTGTAGGTTAATTGTATGAGAAATGTGTGGACCAATACATATACAAACGAATACCATTTTCCAAAATCAGCCTTCTCTCTCTCTCTCTCTCTCTCTCTCACACACACACACACACACACACACACACTCTCTCTTTTTTCCTACTCCCATTAGGTAAAAGGAAAGTATCAAAGACTCTATTCAAAACTGACTGACCTTTGCCAAAGATACTCGTGCCCTTGGTTGTAGTTCACGATGGTAAGTGGCAAGCTTTGCGATTGCGGTCACAACAAAACATAACAGTCTGGACTGTGATGATTTTCTGAAGGTTGAACTAACAGAGCCAAGAGCTGAATCTCTTAGACCCAAACGACTTCTCAGTTATCAAAAGCAGAAGACGATGATCAGTATTCCATTGCCAATATTATAAGACAAATCACAAGCTGTTCAAATAGCAGACCATCTCAATGTACCTTGATGAAAGGTTTTCATATAAAAGTAGTTCCAAACTCTCAAAAAGTTCACGAGCTGCATCTTTATGAGATCCACCACCCCCTCCATGCTCCCCAATGGCCCAACATAATTGTAATGCCAACTCGGTCTGTAAAAAATCATATTGAAAATTGTATAACATATTAACAGCCTATGATTAAACAAAAAGGTTATTTTTTCCTCGATTTTCTTGCCGCTCTATATCTCCTCATATATACTTTGTTTTGTTTTTCATTTTGGAGATGCTCAGAAGGAGATGGATGTTAATCAATTGACCTTTGCAGGGCTGTCATAAGCTTCTCCAAGTCTGTCCACTATAGGCTTCTGCAAACATCAAGTATGGATATGATCAAAATACAGAAGAAAATATGAGTTTAAGAAAGTTTCATGGAAGAGGAGCCCTGCGGAAGTATTTAGAAGACATGAGTATAATGTATAATCCATTATCCATCAGGACAACAAAGATGTTATGCATAATCAAAAACACAGAACAGCTCCTCCCCTGCCAAGCCCACAGGGCATGACTTCCCACCTCCTTCTTTCCTTGCCGATATATCACAAATACACATGCACCCAAATTTAGGGAACTATTCTTACCTGAGATTTACTGAGTGGTAACGTATTTACAACAGATAAAATTGACTTCAACCAAGCCAGATTTTTCAGCAAATCACCTTCAGAAGTGCAATGAAATTGGGAGATCGATGAAAGGCAGCAAGCATGAATTCTAAGAGCCTCTTTTGAACCTACAAGCATGAGTTGCAGTTTAGTTTGAATATTCACCAGCTAAAGTATGTACAATATCTTGTGTTCTGAAGAAAAGGTATATTCAATATCTACAGCTACAGGTATTCCATATATTAAGGGCTTAAATAAATGCATCTGCTAGTGGCCTCTAGGCCACTGCGAGGTCATATCATACATCCATTTTGCAGAGAATAATACCAAGGAAGTCACAAAAATAGCTCTATCTACTGAATTAGGTGATACAAAATTAACTTTGTATTTCAGCAATCCAAGGTNTATCTCAAAAAATATCAAAACCACTTTCTTAAAACTCTTCTCAAAAATTATTTTTAGATACTATTTTTTGAAACGCAAACAAAAAATGCCCTCTATTTCTCTGTGTCTCTCTTTCTTTGTTGTTGTTTTAGGGCTTGAGTTTTGGACCGTCGTATGCTAGTATAGTAGTTGGGCTAGCTTCCAATAAAACTCAGTGTTATACCGAAACTATATCAAGTGGTATAGACAATAGTCCTTGGAATATGCTATATAACCCCGCTCCTCTTGACCAGTTGTCCGGATCTATACATTTACTCCATCTTGAAAGTCATTTTTGACAAAGAAACATTTTGAATTTGAAAACTATTATTTCTAACAAAATTATAGACAATTTTTTCTAAATTCTAAATCATCATGAGTTAGGCCATTGGGATATCATAGTAACAAGTTATGTCCAAAATACCGAGACAATATCAGTTTTTCTTGATTGACAAAATTTGTGCAGTATCCTCAACTTTTAAGTCATTTTTGACTAAAAACTAATTCAAATTTAAAACAGCTTACAAAAATTAACAAACGAAAGAACAATTCTAAATAGAAAAAGCATAGCACCCACAAACATTATCTTGTCAATTTTTTCACACAACAGGTAAATAGTCAATGCTCAAGTGAGTTAAAGAAGATTCATACCTAAATGGAGTCCAATAACAAACAACACGATGTATATGTATTAGCAGAAGTTATGACTGCAAGCTTCAAAAGAATTTGAATCAAAGCAGCTTGCGACATTCTAGTAGTCAGATTCAGACGATCAAAATCCTTCTGATTAATCAACATAACTATTTCACATTTTTTCCTCAAAAGACTCTTCCTCAAATTTATCTTCAAATGTCTGACAACTTGTTGAAAAAACAGATTAAAAGCGGCCGCTCCCCCACCCCACCTCCCTTCATCTCTTTTTTCTCTCTGGTTATGGTTCTATTCTATCTAAGTAATGTAATATGACAAAGAGGGAAATGAAGGAAGTTTCTCACTAATAGTATCTTCAATCATAGTGATCTTTTACTTGCATCAATGTACACCAACCCAAAAGCTCTATTTTTCTGCGTCTCTCTTTCTTTGTTTCTCGTTGTTTTTGGGCTTGGGCTTTGGACTATCATGTGCTAATATAGTAGTTGGGCTAGTTTCCAATAAAACTCAGAGTTAATATAGTTCAACGAATATGCTATGGCCCATGGATTGACCAAATGATCCATTAGATCAAGATGTATAGACAATAGTCCTTCGAATATGCTATATAACCCACTACTATTAGCTCAACATGACAATGATAGGCATATTATTTTTTGGGACCCAAAACTATATNCGAATATGCTATATAACCCACTACTATTAGCTCAACATGACAATGATAGGCCTATTATTTTTTGGGACCCAAAACTATATGTTTCTCTATTTGAATAAATTTATATTAATAAGATAGAATTGATTTTAAAATTTTAAATTAGTCTACCATAAGAATGATTGAAATTAATTCAATCCCGTACATGAAAATCATCCCCAAAAAATTTAAACCCCAAACTTGAAAACTCCAATCGGTCCATACATTTTTACGCTAGGTAAAGTTAGATGACGTATTCTCTTTCTTATCTCTCTATTCTCAATTTATTATGAATGCTGAATAATTTGTTTTTTGATCGTAGGATTCTAAAGAAAACTTGTTGAATTCTAATCTTAATTTTTGATAGATTTTATTTTTTAAAATATTAATTTTTTAGATATTAACACCATGTCTTTAACTACGAGCAATTTTCTAGTTGTTTATATTGTTCCACAACTTTCTTTCCCCTGGCCTAGTTCGTGGACTAGTCTCTAGCCTCCCCTAATTAAATGAGTGAACTATTAGTTTCTACTTTACTCATTCTTGCACCCTTTATATATAAACTATTAATCAAAAATTAAATTGTTAATCAAAATTTNTTAGTTTCTACTTTACTCATTCTTGCACCCTTTATATATAAACTATTAATCAAAAATTAAATTGTTAATCAAAATTTATTAATATTCACCTATATACAAACATAATATTTTGGTATCTGAAATATTCATAATAAATATCAAACAAAACATAAAATATAAGTTTTTGAATGTACTTTAAAACCATGCATAAGAGGTTTGAGAAATTCATATTTCAATAGAAAGTCCTAAGAAGTTTGAGAACCGAAAATCACTATCTAAATATAGATATTTCGGGTTAGAATTGAGTTGACCCGTTTAAGATACACCCAAACAAAAATGTCACACACATTATATATTGATTAAAAGCACAATTATGTCTTTTTTTTACAACTACATGTATTATTTCAATTCACTTTGTAGTTGAACCAACAAATTAGTCATCTTCGCATAATATCTAATGGGAGCAGAAACTATATCATCCGTATGGTGTCTCCTAATCTGAAATGCAATTGATAATATTCATATACCATGGATAATATGAAATTGAAATAAAAATAAATGGACAAAAGTAATAAAGTCAAAAATATGGCTGCACAACACAAATACGTGTGCGAGGTGGGATGGCAAGATAAAAACTTTGGAGGAGGAAGATATAATTTATAGTTAAATTGGGCAGGTTCTGATAAAACCATAAACTACAGATGCACCCTTTACACAATATCCTAAATACAAGGACATCCCTCTATTTTTTTTTTTTTNACAACCTCTATAGTTTGTGTAACTTTATATGTCTCCCTTGTTCTTATATATAAGTTAAAACTACTAAAATTCTCTTCCTCCACTCATTGGGCATAGATGTTGCACCTTTTGAAGAATACTCAAGTGGCATTTAGTGTGAGTAACAATTCTAGTATTGAAGTGAATAGATGATGGACCTTTTGAAAAGATGTGGTGTCTGGAACTTCTACTTGTAGTTTAGTGTCAAACCATATATAAATTTAGAAGTTCTAGATAGACAGTCTTATTGGATACTCAAGAAAAAAGGTGTGTTAAGTGGCATAGTTTGCAGAAAAACACGAGTGAAAGTACTTAGTTTCTAACAATTTGAAGTCTAGAGAGACTATGAGTTCCAAATTTATAGAACCATATGGTTGAGTAAAAAGCTTGATCTGCTACAGTACAGATACATCATCTAATTTATTACATAGGTTTGAATATGAGAAATATCATGTATCTGAATTAACTCCGGCATTTTTAGGAGTCTTCATAAACTTTCACTTAGATTAGTTGCAAGATTGTTATCGTATAAATTGATTACTTAACTACAGAGTGGCTATCCATCTTAAAAGTAAGGAAGTGTGAAATAGATCATTTCATATTTGGAAATGTTACAAAAGGGGGCAATGGTGTGGTGCATGGTAAATGTGTGGCTAACAATTGTGAGATTGTAGTATTTACATGAGAATAGTCATTTCGTGCAAATATTAAATAGACTAGATCTGTATTCATTATACTTCAGACAACATCCCCGATTACTAGATACCAAACTCAGTAACGACCCTTCATTACCCCTTTAGGGTATTAGAATTCAATTCCCATGTACATCAATTCAAGACATTTTTTAAAGTGTAAATTCTATGAGCATCTATTTCCCCTCCCAAATCATGATCTTTTTTGTAAATTGACCAATTTTCCGCCCTTCTTTCTATTAAGTTAAGAGTTTGATGCCCTCTTCTCGGCCACAAGTGGGGGTAACCGTTAGTAGGAGATTCATCAACTAAACTTGACGAATTTGGGAATCTGAGTAGGACCACCTACCCTACCCAGCCACTCATAGACAACTGTCCATCCTATAACCACCTAAAATGGAACTAGAGTGATCTTGAATAGGAAACTTACAATGATAAATATAGAAGCCCGTGGCATAAAATACGACCATTTAAATTACCAATGATTTAACATACATTCAAAAACTTAGGTGATTGATTAAATTGGGTACTCTAAGTAGACCCGTAGACTGGAAGCACGGATGCGGACACCAGTGTTATATCTGATGCGATATGGACATGGAGATATGAAGTTAAAAAATATAGGACACTAATATGACAATGATGCGGCTAATAAAAATAATATAATATATGTTTTAGTCTATTATTAATATATTAAAAACAAAGTATATTTTATAACAATATTAATAATAAGACTTAGCAAATATTAATTTTTTGATTAAAATTAAAATAGAACAAAATAAACATTCACTATTTTCATCAAACATTATTACATTCATAATATCTAAGTTACATAACAAAAAACACATACTTTCCCAAAAAAAAAAAAATAAAAAAATCACATCATTCTTAATAGTTAACAATCATTATTTTTTAAAAAAATCTTGGTTGTTCGTAATCATATCTGATTGAGTTTACTCTTTAGGACACTTCTAACCGTATCTGACACTACCACTGCCACAACACTCTTGAGGAAGTATCTGTGCTTCCTAGCCCATAGACTATGGAACAGATATCATGGTTAGGCTCAGTCGTCAAATGTATGTATGGACATGAATTTTGCTACCTGAGCTCTGACAATGTCATTTAACTGATTCGACAAGTACTACATCCAGATGGGCATCTGGGCTTTTAGTAAGATATTTTTTATCTTGGCTCGAGACAATTTCATGCCCCTAGTTCACAGGAGTAAATTATTGGCTAAATCTTTAAAGTATAGCCACTAAAACAGTGGAGAGTCATGCGGTGATGTTTGCAAGACATGATACTTGTTTTGGAGCTTGATAATAACATCAGATTGGTGTTTAGCAAAATTGTTGGTTGCCACTGCTGGTAAGTGGCAAACTCTACTAAAGCTTCCTTTACTTTGGCAAACACTCCATAGAAATATTGCACTTCTAATCAAAGCACCTTGTGAGTGGGATTGTTTGGGCATGAATGGAATATCCGAAAGTTACACTTGAGGCAAGCATCCAAAGATTTTTGGCCATCTTTACAAGTGGCAAACATCCTTTTTCAAAGCAAATTCCATCTTTAAGATGAACTTCCATGTTGAAATGAGCATAGGGGTGACCTAGGCCTTTTGTTTTTTGAGTACTAGTGTAGTTATTTTCAAAATTTATTCTTCTCGCTAGTCCAAATGCACATTACTAATCAAGTTTTTGTATTCTCATGTTTTGCTACCATATCTTCTCAATTACTAACATATCTTTTGGTTTGAAACTTGAATTAAATTTATCAATATACTTTTTTTGAGATTCAAATAGTTTTTTTTTTTTTTTAGTTTTTATAACCAGATGGTTGTCTAATTGTCTTGTCTATGATATATATTCAACAAAACAAATAAAAAAATCAAGAAGTATCTATAATTAAAAAAATCAGCTTCAATTTTTTTTTAAAAAAAGGCCTAAAAATATGAAACAACAAAATCTGATTGATCATTATTCCCTGCAAAATTTGAAATTTAATATTTGATTCCCCTTTGATCAATATTGGATTTTCACTCTTGCAAATGATTGGGCTATTTTTAGTTTTAGGTGGCTTTGGTGATATGTGTTTTGTGAAGAACTGGGATGGGGGGGAGAGGTTTTGATTTTAGATGAACATGAAAATACCATCCATAAATGTGAGAGAAAGAGTGATTTTTGAGAGAGAGAGAGGGAGAGAGAGAGTTGAAGGACTATTGATTTTATGGTTCAACAGCTTTTTGTCTCATACAGTTCAGTTTTTCCTTTTTTTGTTTGCAACAAATATCACGCCTTTCTTATTACTGATCAACTAGAAGCTTACAAATCTATATTTTATAAGCCATCATTTGGTAATTAGGTATCTTATTTCATTTTACATTTGCATGTATGTTCCCCCCCCCCCCCCAAGTATAACAGCATGTAAAATGTTTTGCTGATCTAAGTATCTCTATGCTTGTTATATATCTACCGTAATTTTTTATGCTTAAATTGTTCCCATAGCTTACTGCCATTTACTTCTTGTACTGGAAAAATAGTAAAAACGTGATCGGAAAAATCAGGCTAGGCTGTTATCTAATAAATCAGGCTAGGCTTCTTCCAGCAATTACGAAGGATGATTGAAAATAAATGACTGGAACCAAGCTGGGTGAACAATTTCGGATCCATCAGAAACCTAGATGGTGAATGTGCCAGACTAAGTAGCAGCAAGCATGTAGCATTCCAAAAGAAACGAAGAATGAGCTATCTCTGTAAGCCTCTGGAGCATGGTAAATAAAATCAAAAGAAAAAAAGTTCTTTCAAATGTATGTTTTGGTTAGTATTCTCAACAGAAATTGACTTGACAATTTGCTTCTTTAGATTCCCAGGGTTTCAGGGTAAATGCTGTAGCAGTTTCATGCAAAACTGCTTACACAATTCAAGCGATGGCAAGTGCAGTGCTTTTAACTGGTGCATGTGACCGTGAGGTTACAAGAATATTATAAAACCATTACAGCAATGTGTACTCTCCGCCTAGGCAAGTGGTTAGTAACAGAACTGCTTGGGTTGTCTTCATCGTGTTGAGGGACAGATAAATCTTCCTTGAGTTCATAGGAAATCTGATGGGCTGGCCCATTTTCTGGTACTTCTGTTGCTTGTACTCCCTTTCTGTTGTCAGCTGGTGATTCATTTGTCATGACAGAACTGAAATGAATTGTCCAATAATGTTGTGTGACAAGTGCATTCACCTTCTTTCTATTTGAAATAAGCTCAAAAAATGTCCGTCAATATGGAACTGATAACCTATCAGGATCTTCATGAAAGACTTATGATGTTAGAAGCACGTGCAGAGTTCCAAAAAAGGAAATATTTCTGTGGGTTAGGGCTGCATTTGTATAATGCTGAATTTTGGCTTTCCTATCTATAGTATGAAGGTTTTCACTTCTCAACATGTTAGCTATCAGGTTTGGGTCATGGAACCGAATCGGGGGCGCCCATGGTGAGTCGACCCAATTGGAGAATGCCTAAGATAAGAGGCATGATTTTTGGAGATGTGCTTTACCAACCAAAATAAATGTATGTTAAAGTTAACAGATATATCTCTTAAAAAAGATGTCTCTTCAAGACACCTATTGGTTGTCTACATAAACCCAAAGGCAATCCAATATTAGTCATCTTTGATAATTCATATGACGTACAATCTTCCTACTGTCTCTTTCTCTCTCTCTACATAACGTTGAAAAACTTTTGTGCTGTGAAAAACCCGATGTTGATTCATATTAAGTAACGACATCGTATCGCTAGAGCAAGTAGAAAAAGATTGATATTGGATTTTTAAAGTATGTGGAACATTTTCAAATATTTTGGAATTAAAGCGAATAAGGTATGTCTTTAATTCTACGTTTTTGCACTGTATTTGATTTCCAAAATAACATCTAAACATAACCATTTTGTTCATCTTGATTTATGCTTTTGTTTTACCCATATATGTTTCTTTGTTTGTGTTCGATAAACCAATTAACAATTTTTTAATTTTAATTTGCAGGACAACAACATTTATGTGCATCTTAGACAGAGCTAATACCCACCTGCAGTTGTAGTTCATGGATAAAGGTAGACTGGGTGATTTGGAATGGAACCTGATTGTTCCTACGCCTTTTGCGTTTCTCGTATGCATCGGCAAAGCCTCTGTTCTGATCGGGGTTTTAGTATTTCTTACTCCATTGGCGGAGTAGCAGTTTTGACTACTCTTGAGTTTTGTTTGATAATTTTTGTTAAGGTCAATTGTTTGTTTTTACCATGTAAGGAAAAGAAAAAGTGACCCTCTTATGTCAGACCTTCAAGAGATTTCTGCCTTTCTTTTCTTGGTTGGCATAGATTTTTTCTACTATTGGTAACGCAAAGGGCTTCATAACTCCTTGATTGTTCTTACACATGTTGTGTTACTTGCGTATTTTATCAGAGCCTTGGATCGTGATCTGAATTTGAGTATTTATAACTCATTTGCTGGCATAATTGTTTTAACTATTCAGAGTTTTGTTAAGGTAAAATGCTTGTTTTAACCGTGAAATAGATGAAGAACGGCCTTGCACCTTGGTCACTGCTTGGTAGAGCTGATGTGAGATTGTCATTTTTTCTGTCTTAACCTTTTTTTTTTTTCTGGGAAATTTTTTCCCCTTGTTTTTCGTTCCTGAAAAATTTACGTTTTCCTGAGTATATAAGAAAGAAAATTGAAAATTTCATGAAAGCCTAAGCTGAGCTCTATCTGTTAATATGAGTCCGGAATTGATTTAAATGGAGTAGGAAATATTTGATTTTATTTGTAGACTTTTTCCAAACTATGACAGTGTCTATCCATAGCAGTTGATTTGGTAGTTCTACCTTCAGAAGCAGTCATATTGACAAGCAGCAGTCCGAAGATCCATTGATGATGTATATAATTAAATACAAAAAAATTATTTATTAATTGTTAACCTTATAAGATGGAATTAGGATTTACCTTTAACGATTACAACACGAACAAAGGCTAGTGTAGATCGAGTAGTTGGCTGGAGGGAATTCATGATCTTTTATCGTATATTTTTCTCAACTCCAAAATTCAAACACAGCGTGGGTTATAATTTTCTAAATTTTTTCTCTTACTCTCTCTCCTTTTGCCTCTTCTAAACGTGAAAGTATGGTTAGGTTATAGTAGAGACTCTAAGAAGAAATAAATATCGGATTTTCAATGGGTCTAGGAATTTTACTTACAACTCAGAACAAACATCTTACGGTCCATTAATAATAAGTTATTCCCTAAAAAAATTATTATTGCTCTCTCGGGTCTCATCTCAAAACTATATTTTGAACTCATTATTATATACTTAATAATCTCCCTACATTTAAGATTACGGATGTCAATTAATTAGTTAAATTACTAACAATTATATTTAATTAACTTCTTTTTATCATTGAAATCTTATTATTCAACTTATTTGCTATGTCGAATAATTAAATTTGGTNATTAACTTCTTTTTATCATTGAAATCTTATTATTCAACTTATTTGCTATGTCGAATAATTAAATTTGGTGATGCACAAATTGGTTTGCACACCACTAATCAGGTAAATAGAATAAAATGCAATAAAATAAGTAGATGGAGAGAGAAAATAAGGTTTATAGTGGTTCGATCAATAAGACCTACGTCCACTTTCAATGGCTAAGTTCACCGAGAAGTTTATTATCTCCTCTGGTGTGTTGGGAGAATAGAGAATTACAAGAGATAAGAGATGAGCTTGATCTCTTGAGATGCCCACCAAGTGCTGGGGAAGCTTACAATTTATAGAAGCCTGCGTAGTAATTGAGTAGCTTGACAGTTATAACGGAATGGAGGCAACTTAATAGCTGATGACCTCTCCTCTCCCTAGCGACCTCTCCTCTTCCTCAGCGGGCAAGGGTATAGTTCTTGGATGCTCTCGTAGCTCCCTGATGGCCTTGACCGTCTTAGACCTCATAGGACTTGCTTGGTCTTCTATAAGCTTGGGCTTTTTCCCATGGATTGGGGCATTTGAGCTTGACCCATCATTTGCCCCCCTATACCCCATGTCCAATAAANGGACTTGCTTGGTCTTCTATAAGCTTGGGCTTTTTCCCATGGATTGGGGCATTTGAGCTTGACCCATCATTTGCCCCCCTATACCCCATGTCTAATAAAACTTGGAGAAGTGGACATTCAACTGAAGTTGAATTCTGACCCAAGAATACTCCTCACCCGCTACGTCCATGTTTGCGCTATGACAGGTTGCGGGGATCGACCTGCTCGGATAGGTCGCGGGGTTCCACATGCCTGGTCAGGTGGCGGGAGCTTGAGGGCAGCGCCCCCGAACCTTAAAACAATTTTCTGAATTAGACACCAAGGCTCCATTTCCATTCTGGATGTAGTTTGCCTTGCCGAACACCTCAAATCTTTTCCATTTTACTTGAATTTTTAAGAGAGCCCTTGGTTTTTAATTTGAATTTTTCCCTCATTGTAAACCCTAAGCTATAAATAGGAACCTCCCTTCTCACTTTACTCAATTCATTCAAGAGTGTTCTTTCTTGAAATCTTTGGAGACCCAAGTTCCACCTATTCCATAGCAACTTGAAAGGGTGAAAGGGAGTGTCTTCCTAAAAATCCTTTGACAACTAAGAGGTGAGCTTCTTAACCTGTCATTTACAACAATGCCCATTGAAGGAGAAGGGTTCGCAAATCTTGGTGGAGAGGAGATGGAACTGGATGTTGCCATCGGAGAGGGGGAGTCAAATGGAGGAATCAAGAACAAAAAGAGAGCAAACAAGTGGGCAAGCAGACAAGGCCACTGTTGTTTNGAGAGGAGATGGAATTGGATGTTGCCATCGGAGAGGGGGAGTCAAATGGAGGAATCAAGGGCAAAAAGAGAGCAAACAAGTGGGCAAGCGGACAAGGCCACTGCTGTCTGGCGAGGTGACCCAAGGGGCGCCACATTGGAGAGGGGCTGCCTAGGCGGGATCCGAGGTGCTATGGCCACCTCTCATGACATTTGTTGGGCGCGACAAGGAGGTGGCGAGGGGAGGCACGCCTACGTTGGGCGAGCAGTCCAGGGAAAAAGGCGAGGCGACCTTTGTGCTGGGAGAGCTTGCCATGACGTGGAGCGAGCTCATCGCGTTGGGCCAGCCTATGTTGGGCGAGCTTGTTGCTGCACCGAGTACCCGTGTAGGCGAGGGTGACCAGGTGAGGGAGGAACAGGTGGGGTGTGTTGGTTTGGAATGTTTGGGCGAGTAGACTGAACCATGCGCCCACCTAGGCACTGGATTGACCAGATTGGGGCTATTGAGCGCACAGTGCAGTCTGTAGGTGCTGTCCAGGAGGCTGTTCGTGCAAATCTGGGTGGTTCTGGCAAGCAAATCAGGGAGGTGAGCGAGCACCTTGCCCTGGGAAGCTTGGGCGAGCACTCTGCTCGTGTGGAAACGGTCAGTGTAGGCGCCGAGGCTACGATGACTTCATTTAGNGCAAATCAGGGAGGTGAGCGAGCACCTTGCCCTGGGAAGCTTGGGCGAGCACTCTGCTCGTGTGGAAACGGTCAGTGTAGGCGCCGAGGCTACGATGACCTCATTTGGGCGAGTAAACCATGATGGCCCGATTCCTTCAAGTGCAGCCTCTCAAAGCCATATTCCTAGAGACATTTCTGGCAGCGACTAGGGCAGAGCTTTATGCCCTCGCGCCAAGAAGCATTGAGGCAAGGTAGCCCTCGATGACGATGGGTCCAAAGTAAGTACTATCTCCAACACTATAAATTCTGACGTCAATATTTCACGGATTGTTTCCACCTATCACAATCCCCCAACGATTCTGTGCCGCCGCACTGAGATGGGTGAGCCTGCCTCTGATGACTCTTCTGGGGACATTGTCATCTATGAGGAAATGCTGGATGCTGGGTTCAAGTTCCCCATATCTCCTTCTATTTGCAATATTCTTCATTATTTTTTGCTCACTTCGGGGCGATTGTCACCTAATGGTTGGAGAGTTTTGTTGGGCTTTCTTGTGTTGTGGAGAAAGGTGCATCATGAGGATGCTTCTCCTGTGGAGTTCCATGCAGCTTATAACTTGAGCGAGACTCCTGCTCCAAATAGAGGGTGGTATTATTTTACCACGAGAGGTGGTAAGTTGCTTACGGGATTACCCTCCAATTGCCATAGCTGGAAATCTGGCTTCTTATTCGTCGACGGAGAGTGGGTTGTAGAAGCTGATAGGGTTTTGGTACCAACACGATGGAGTGCTGCTAAGAAACTTGGTACGCCCTATATATCATTTATTTTTTCTCTTTTTTTTTTATGTGTACTCATCCATCATTCTCTTGCAGATTCGCCCGTCCTCTCCAAAGACCAAGAGTGGAAATTGCAGGCCGTGAAGGCTCATCCTAACAAGGACTTGAGAGTCCTTTTGTCCAAGGATGCTAGGACCACTACACCTTCCCCGAGGTCCGACGGCTCCTCTTTGAAGAGGAAGGGTGAGTTGATTCTTTTGTACCTTCTTTTTTATTTTCATGTGGGTAATACTTTATTTTCTTTGGAGCAGTAGATAGGGAGATGATTGAGTCTCGCTTTTCTAGTAGGAGTCCTTCTCCTTCTAAGGTGGCGAGGACGGAGGATTCTTCCTAGGTTACCTCTCCAACCATGTTGCCCGAGATGAACTCTCTTCAGTCAACCCCTCCACTGGCACCTCGAGCGTCCTTCCATCAAGTGACCAATCCAGAGGTGCCTCCTCAGTCAGATGCTCCCACAGTTGCACCTCCTGCCTCAGAATCTCATCTAGAGTTTCGTTTATTGGCCACACCTTTTGCCCCCCATTCATCCACTCCTCATGTGGGGACTTCTTCTAGGGCACCTTCTCAGATTAACTCCATGCTGGGTAACTCGCAGGTCATCAAGGATCGTCTTGGGAAGTTTTGGTTCACCAACGATGTGAATGGGATTAGTGCCTTGGGCACCAAGGGGATCCTCAACTTTCCTAGAAGGCTGGGCTCGGTAAAGGTTTGTTCTCTTCCCCTTTCTCCCTTCCTTCCATAAGTTTATGACATTTTTTTGCCTTCTGTTTCTCTTTAGGCCTTCACTGTAGCTATGTGTTTATTTTCAAAAACCTTCCTTTATCACAAGCTGAAACATGATCATAAAGTGGTACAAAATGAGCTTCTTGCTGCTCAGAGGAGGATCACCGAGCTTGAAGCTACTGACAGCTTTTGATGCTGACCTTGTGACAACTCGCGAGAGGGCGATTGAGCTTTCGACGATCCATGGGAAGGTGTCTGGGCTCGAGTCTGAGCTTGTTGAGGTTCGTGAGAGGGTCATGCTCAGTGAGGCTGAGCTTTTGGCGACCCATGGGAGGGCGGCCAAGCTCGAGGCTGAACTTGTGGAGGTCCGTGAGAGGGCCATGCCCAGAGAGGCTGCCACAGAGGCAAAGGTGAAGGCAACTCATGAGAGGGCTTCACAGGTTGAGGAGAGGGCTTCCCAAGTTGAGGAGAGGGCTGTGATAGTTGAGAGGGACTTTGAGAGTGGCCATGTAGACGCCTTCATTGACGGTTATGAGGAGTTTCGGGAAATTTTTTTTGTTATTTTTTCCGATATTGATGTCTCAGGCTTCTTGCCAACTGAGGTCCCTGATGACAGTGGTGGAGATTCTGATGATGCCGCAGGTGACGATGAGGAAGAGGATGACGACCATGAGTAGTTAGCGTGCTAGAGACTTTTTGGTTTTTTGTTTTTTGTTTTTTGTTTTGAAAAGGCATTTTGTAGCCATACTTTTATAAATGTGGTTTTTGCTATTGATGCTACTTTGAAGCTGAAAAGTTGAATATGAAAATGCAAAGATCTTTTTGAAATAAATCTAGAAATTTTGTTCATTTTTCTGCTCATATAAAACAATATCGGGTAATAGCCCCACAAAAGAGTAAAAAATAAAACCAAGTCCCTAACTTTTCTACTCTCTTAAGGTGTCATTGGTTGTACCTCTTCAAGTGCTCCGCGTTTCATGGATGGGGTAAGACCTTCCCCTTAGAATTCTGGATCTTGTAAATGCCTGGTTTCACCACTTCTGTTATGAGGTATGATCTTTCCCAATTTGGTCTCAGCTTTCCTTCGCGTGAATCCTTTGTGGCGAGTATCACTTTCTTAAGGACCCAGTCTCCTGGTTGGAAGGAACAAGACTTTACCCTTGAGTTGTACTATTTTTTCATACGACGTTTGTACTCCACGTTGCAGACCACAACCATCTCCCTTGCCTCCTCTACCAAATCGAGGTTGATGTGGAGTCCTTCCTCATTGGTGTCGGGGTTATGGTATTGGACCCTTAGAGAGTGCACCTCGATTTTCACAGGGATGACTGTCTCAGTTCCAAATGCGAGGGAGAAGAAAGTCTCCCTAGTTGGAGCTCTTGGTGTGGTTCGGTAAGCCTATAATACGCCTGAGAGCTTGTCAACCCAAAGACTCTTCACCTTTTCAAGCCTTGTCTTTAGGTTGCACAACACTGTCCTCACCACGACTTTTTCTTATCCATTTGCCTGTGAGTGTGCTGGGCTAGAATGAGGTTGCTTTATCTGAAGATTGGAGCAGAAAGAGTTTAGGAGCTTGTTGTCGAACTGTTTGACATTGTCGCTTACAATGGCATGGGGTATCCCAAAGTGACAGACCAAGTTCTTCCAAATAAAATCTTTGACCTTTGCATCTGTTATCTTTGCTAAGGGTTCGGCCTCTGCCCATTTAGTGAAGTAGTTAACCGCAACTACCACGAACTTGTATTGTCCTCTACTAAGAGGTAGGGGATCTAGGATGTCGATGCCCTATTTGGAGAATGACCACGGACTTGTGATGACCGTGAGTTCTTCTGGTGGTTGTTTGGGCACAGTGGTGAAGCGTTGACATTTATCGCACGTCTTGGCGAATTCCTAGGCATCCCTTATCATGCGAGGCCAAAAGTAGCCTTGTCTGAGTGCCTTGTGGGCGAGGGAACGTCCTCTAGAGTGATTCCCACAAACCCCTTCATGGATCTCTCGCATGACATAGTCAACTTCTTCAGGTAAGAGGCATCTCAATAATGGCAAGGAGTAGCCTCTCTTGTACAGGGTGTCCTGTAGGATAGTAAACTTGGAGGCTCTCATCCTGAGCTTCCTGACTACTAGAGGGTCCTCTGGCAATGCACTTTCTTGGAGTTATGCCCTTATCGGGGTCATCCAGTTTGACTCCAACGATGCATAGTTGATGTTTATGGCTTTCATGTCTAACTTGCTTGGTCTGAATTGGTGACCAATGAATGTTGGTCCTCCTGGTGGGGCTCCCAAAGATGAGGCGAGCCTGGCTAGTGCATCAGCGACCATGTTGTCTTCTCTTGAGATGTGACAGATTTGGAAATATTGAAACTTTGCGATCAAGCTTTTCACCATACCAAGGTATTCCTGTATTTGGCTCATTTTATTTCGAACTCACCCTTTACTTGATTAACAATCAATTGGGAATCGCTGTAAGTGGCGAGGCGTTGGGCTTCCATTTCATCTGCCAATCTTAAACCAGAGAGGAGGACTTTGTACTCTGCTTCATTGTTGGAAACAGTAAAGTGGAGCTTCACTGCATACTTGAGGGGAGTACCTTCGGGGTTGATCAAGATCAGGCTTGCTCCTCCTCTTTCACTGGTCGAGGAGCCATTTACATAGAGCTTCCAGAGTGGTAGAGAGGAGGGCTTCAAGGTTAAAGTGGGAGCCTGGACACTAGACTGGGCACCTAAGGAGGAAATCTGGCCGCCTGAGGTGGAGAGTTGGGCACCTAGAGAGGAGATCTGGGAGCCTGGAGAGGATATCTGGGCACCTGGGGTGAAGAGCTGGGCACTAGGGGTGGAGATCTGGGTGCCAGGTTGGGCGCCTGGGCACTTGTGCTGTCCTGGGCGCTTGGTCTAGATGCCTGATTACTCTCGTTGAGTGTCCGAGTGTCCTCGTCGGGCATTTGGGTGTCCTCGCCGGGCATTCTGGTGTCCTCACCGGGTGCTTGATTACTTCGCGTGTCCAGGCTCAACGTCTGAATTATGGAAAGCTCATTAGCCTCCTCCTCTGCTAGTGTAAGCCTAGTAATAAAATCTGCCAATGCTTGTGCTTTGATGATCGTCCTTGACTGGTATTGAATGTCGAACTCCCCTAGTTCTACTGCCTGCTTGAGAAGTCTCCCTGATGCATCTGGTTTTCCTAAGACTCTCTTTAGAGATTGATCCGTGATCACGATAACGATGTGACTCTGGAAATTATGTCGTAGATGCCTAGCTGTTGTGACCAGGGTGAGCGCTAACTTCTCCAGCTCCGAATATCTGATCTCTGCTCCTTGGTAGGCTCTGCTCACATAATAGATGGACTTTTGCACTCCCGCATTGTTGTTGACGAGAACGGAGCTTACTGTCGAGAGAGAAACAGAAAGGTATAGGTATAATATTTCTCCTGATGTTGCATGTGACAAGAGAGGAGACTTAGCCAAATAGGCTTTGAGCCTTTG